GAAGCAAACGGTAGTCGGCTTATCGACTCAGGAATGTTAGCTCTATGCGTTCATAGCTACAAAACGCGGTACTACAAAAGCTCTGCCCACAAAAAAAAATTAGTTCGGTTTCTTTTGGGTACCCCATCGTATAAGAACTATACAGTTTCTACATTACAACATGTTTCGGCCACTATTTGTGGCCATCATCAGGTAGGACTCATACAGTCACTCTCAACTGTCTCTGCTATTCCCTTTCCATTGGGCAATGTGTACAATTGGGGAAGGTCATATTGTTGCTTATAACGTAGATTTTTAGTTTCTAGACTTAAACATATACTGTATAAACTATATAAACCTTTGTCCGTTTGTTCCGAAAGGTATGCTTTATTCGCAGTAGAAACGTCTTTAAATTTTAATCGGTGGGCACGTGGTAGCGTAATTGGTTGAGGCACTATGCTACAAGCCAGACGGTCGCGGGTTCAAGTCCCGATGAAGTCACTGGCTTTTTTCAATTGACCTAATCCCTCCAGCCGCAGTATGGCCCGGGGGTCGACTCAGTCTCTAAGAGAAATGAGTACTAGGAATCTCCCTGGGGGTAAAGGCGGCCGATGCGTAAGACTGACAACCTCACCGCCATCTGTAAGCCGATTGTCTGGAAAATGTAGGAACCTCAACATGTAACAATCCTATGGGCCTCCACGGTCTGTTACAAGGATACCTTTACTTTTTTTTTACTTTTACTTAAAAATGTAATTAAATTAAAATATAATAATTTGAACTAGTTAAAATTAGACCAATATTGTTTAATTTTTATTCTTGTTATTAAAAAAATAATTTCATTTAGGTATGTAGCCTTGTGTAATGATTATTTCCTTGATAAGCACGGTGTACCGCTGTAAACATCAGTCAATGGAGGTAAAGTGGAGAGGAGCTCTAAAAGTAGCACCTGATGATGGACGAAATTAGTGGCCGAAACATGTTGTAAAATACGGACTGTAGTTATCCTAGAAGTATACATGTACTGTAAGACTGAAACTGAACAACATATTCTACAAACAATATGACGCTAAAATACTATATTACTACTCGTATTTACCAATCATCCTCCTCATCCACGTCATAGTAAAAAGAATAGCCGCAGCTGCATCCTGTGCAGCAAAGTGTAATTTGTACTCTGACCTTCGCAGGCACGTCTCAGCCTGACTACCTGAGCTATGACCCATCGTGGAAGACAACTCCTCCAGGTTGCCCTCAATACGCAATGCTTCCTAGCACACCAGCACTCGGCAACCTTCCAGTGGCTACGCCGTCCTGTGCCTTTATGTCTTCCACAGGTAGGCAACTATTCAAGTCAACTCCGAACTTTATTTTAGGGTACTGGAATAACATCGTTTTATATAGCTACAAAAATATTACCGAATATTTGTGCTTTTTACTTTTCAGGTGTTTCGTCACCCTACAACGCTTCCACTTTGCCTGTATCACACCAGTCCTCAACCGTGGGGACCGGATATAGCGTCAGTACCAGTATTGCCAACCTTCGCTTCAGAGCGCATGAATATTCTCTACATCCGTCACAATTATAGTGAACAGAAGGACAGAATAGCAAACATGGCGGAAGAATATTGCCAACCTGTTAAAATGGGTACTATCCAGAGAAGCCCACAAAATGTATGCACACTTCATTGTACAAAAATATCTGCTTAGAAAATGTATTGCTAACCCTGTCTTGCCATTCAATATGGTGGATCTGAAATTCATGTGACTAGCACCATCTTCCGAGATTAAAATCGGGTAATGTTTTGCTATCATTCAGTCCAGAAATTTTGTCGTCTAGTCTGTTGTCTAAAAACGTAAAAAATAGAATATATAAAACTATAATTTTGCATGTGGTTCTGTATGGGTGTGAAACTTGTTCTTTGAAATTAAGGAAGAAACATAGACTGGGGACGTTTGAGAACAAGGTAAAGGTAAATTTGTCCCTGTGCTTAACTAATTAAGCAGTATGCCATGAAGGTGTATGGGGAAGTGGATGTATAGATCCACATTTTCTTAACCTCGGCACTGGCTGGAGGTGAGTGGTCAGCTTCAAGCTCCAGCCGCTTTACCCACGGGGAAAGAGCCCCCGGTATCCATTGGATAGGAGGTTGGGTGGACCCCAGAGTAGGTCTGGACGACGTGGTGAAGAGAACAATCCGACCCTACCGGAACTCGAACTCCGACCCCTCGGTCGTCAGCCTGCAGCCAGTCGCTATACCGACTACACTATCTGGGTTCTGTTCGAGAACAGGGCGTTGAGGAGAATACTTGGACCGAAGAGGGATGAAGTGACAGGAGGTTGGAGAAAACTGCATAATGAGGAGCTTCATAACTTGTACTCTTCTCCAGGTATAATTAGAATGATCAAGTCAAGGAGGATGAGACGGGCAGGGCGTGTAGTATGAATTGGTAGAAGAGGAATGCATATAGGATATTGGTGCGAAAGCCAGAAACAAAGAGACCACTAGGAAGACAAAGACGAAGGTGGGTGGGTAATAATAAAATGGGTCTTAGAATGAGGATGGGGCGATATGGACTGCATTGATCTGGCCCAGGATAGGGACCAGTGGAGGGCAACCTTTGGGTTGCATAAAATGCTGGGGAATACTTGATTAGCTGCACAACTGGTGGCTTCTCAAGAAGAGGCTCAGCTGCATGGAGTTAGTCTAACACCTTTTGTGAGAGCATCACACTACACACAGTACAGTACTTTTCGGTTCAGCTTTAAAAATGTCCGTAGATAACCTCTTTAAAGTGTGCATACAGTTTTTGGGCCCATATTGTTGTACGGAACCTCCCTATGGACAATATTGGCGAATGAAATTGAGAGACCTCTAAATTGCAATCAGGACATTAATGAGCAGCATTTTCTTCTGAAATAAACGCATTGCTGACTATGGCCATATTTGATATTAAAGTATAATGCACCTTTCCCACGAGTGTCTGTGGTGCTTCTTGGAGAGAATTTGATTTAAATTGAGGTGTTTCCATGCAGCCACTTGACTGACCATTTACATTTAGAGCGTACTAAGATACTAAACTTGTTAGAATAATATCACTGCTATCTAGAGGTCAGCTGTGGACTTCTCGTCAGAGGACACTGCAAAGCACCTATCACTGCCACCTGTTGATGCCATCACACGCTCTTACTCGCAAATACTACCATCTCTGACTATTAACATATATGTCGACAGAGTAGCAAACATCGGACTTCTATATATGAGGGCAGGGGTTCAGTCAACAAATAGCCATAAACTCGAAAACACATGACTCTGTCCCTGTCGTGAATTATGGCGCTGAGTTAGGCTACAGACTTCTCTAATTGTGTAATCGGGGATCGAAAACGGAATCTTACTTAGGAGGCAAATATGCTTAGTCCTTCGAAGCGTGATGTTTAGTATAAGAAACAGTTACTACCTCACAGAAAATACAACTTTGTCTCCATTACCAGAATCAACAAGTTAATGTTGTTCACAAAAATACTAATAAATATATATATATATATATTACAATATAACGTCGTCTTCAATTGAGGAACAGACTATAAGGACTCTGAAAACGCGTATACTCGTAACTCCGGCAAGCTGTATCAATGGAGCTGTGGGCAGAGATCGCCTGTCATTGCTCAAACACGGTAGCTAACCCCTCACGTTCTCGTAATTTTGTACTGTTGTGCAAATACCCACACTCGGACCATGTAACGCACACAACTCTCACTTGCAAGTCAACAGCTCTGCATTTCCTAATCTATTTCTTCGTACAAAGAGATTTTTAGACTTTCGTTTCCAGCTGATCGTGAAAATACAAGAAACTGATTATGCGGCAACAGGCCGGTATTCCTACGTCACTGCAATCTTAAGTAGGGGCACTATGCTACACGCCGGAAGGTCGCGGGTTCGAGTCGCGATGCGGTGCTTTTTTAATTGGCCTAATCCTTCCAGCCGCACTATGGCCCTGGAGTCAACTCAGCCCCTAACAGAAATGAGTACCAGGAATCTTCCTGGGTGGGCTAAAGGGCGGCCGAAGCGTAAGGCTAACAACTTTACCGTCACCTGTGAACCGATTGTCTAGAAAATGTGGGAACCTCGACGTCTCTCAACCCTATGGGCCTTCACGGACCATTACCTTTTTCTCTTTACTGTGCCCTTAAGTTGAAACCTACTCTCAACTGGCTGCGTAGTGGTTAAGGTACTATGCTACAACCCGGAAGGTCGCAGGTTCAAGTCCCGATAAGGTCATTGGATTTTCTTCAATTGATCTAATCTTTCCGGCCGCACTGGGCCCTGGGGTTTACTCAGCCTCTACCAGAAATGAGTACCAGGAATTAACTAAAAGATTTTCCTGGGGAGTAAAGCGCGGCCGGCGCGTAAGGCTGACAACCTTACCGCCATCTCTGAGCCGATTGTCAAGGTAATGTGGGACCCTTAACGTCTCACAACCCTATGGGCCTTCATGGCCTGTTACAGGGATAGCTTCACTTTACTTTACATCACAATATACTTTTAGTTTGTGGTCTGACGCAAAGGGCTTGAAAAAAATTGTAATGTACATCTACACAGCGACAAGACCGTAAAATGAGTTGTTTTCTTTATGAAAGAATTTTCGATCTATCGACACCCGTGAGATTAAGCGGCCGAACATGCGAGATATCGAGAGTCGCACGTACAATACCAAGAGCCCTAATGTGCCTTGCACAGCAGTGGAACGCATAGCGTGGCATTGACTCTTCACGATCCCAGCGGCAACTTCACAAACGCAGAAAAGACGCGTTACGTGTCGCTACTAAACATGATATTATCAAGCGATCCAGTGGCTACAGACGGATTTGGATTAGTAATCGGATTAACTGTACTCATAGCGGCTCCGTAGTCTAGCGGTAACGTTCCCATCTCATGACTCAAGGTACGCGGGTTCAAACCGGCGGAGGTCGCGGAAATTTTAAGGGCGGAAAAATTCAGGGAACAAGTCCTCCGGGAGGGACTTTAAGCCGTGGGTCCCACGTCGTAGATTTACGGCACGTAAAAGATCTCGTGTCTCTAGGAGACCTCTGAGCAAAATTAGGCAAAATGTTTCCCGCCCAAGTAGTTTCCAATGCCATCGGTAGATGGGGAAGTTATCGGGTACCAATGCCAGTAGAGGGCCGAACTCGCTGGCAGAAAGGGGAGAAATATCGGGTACCACTGCCAGGAGAGGGCAGACCTCGCTGGCAGAAAGGGGAGATAGCGGGCACCAATATTGGTAGGGTATGGATACAGTAGAAATTAAAGGGGGACGTACAACAGACTATTAGTCGCCGTGCATGGGGAAACCCACCCCTTCTATACTGAATAACTGAACTGAACTGTACTCATTAACCACTCGTGACTACACTTTACAAATCCGTATCGCGCACGCACACACACACACACAATATAGTGTTCTCAGTCACGGTCTTCATTGCGCTGCTTGGTAGCGCCTTCCAACAGCGAACGATCCACTTCCTCTGGGTTCCCGAACTGACCCTGCAACTATCAGCTAACTAGCTGGTCCTCGCTATATAGCCTCGGGACACAACGCATAGAACACACTGCTTCCAACATACACAGTGTCCGGGTTCTGTTAGGACTGTGATCACTAAAAATACAAGACGTGAATTATTTTCAAAATTTCACTCATTTTATTCAAAATAGTCTCCTTCTGAATCAATTGAAGTTTTCGAAAACAGTCACTGTACTCCTTTTGTGGAATCGCATTTAAACCTGCGGTGCATTCCCTTTGGATGTCCTGGATGGTGTCGTGACGGTCTCCTTTCATCACCAACTTAACTTCTGGGACCAACCAGAAATATGCTGGAGCCAAATCTGGCGAATATGGAGGATGATCAAGGACTGTCATCCCCTTTCTGGCCAAAAAATCGCGCACGATCTCTGATTTGTGCGGTGGGGCATTGTCATGGAGGAGCGACCAAGAACCTTGCTCTCGATATCCAGGTGGAATTCGAAGAATTCTCGCCCACAAACGACTGAGGACTCCGAGATAATAATCAAAATTCACTGTTTGACTTTCTGGCAGAAATTCCTTGTGAATGATTCCTTTGGAATCGAGGAAAACGGTTAGCAGTGTCTTTACTCGACTCTCTTGCAAGCCCACTTTCTTTGGTTTCGGCTTCTTTGGGCTCAACTACGCTGCACTCTGCCGCGTTGTGAGAGGCTCATATTGAAAACACCATGTCTCGTCATCAGTGACAAACGTGTTTGTAAATTTTGTACCACTTTGTATCACTACCTAAAAATTCCGATCAGTTGAAGAGACTGCCGTAGAAGGAAGGTCGGCTTGGTCAAACTCTACGAAGCAGGGCATAACCCAGGATCGGGGGACGACTACTAAAACAACGGCCACTGAACATGTAACTTGCAAACTGATGGTCAGAACTGTGGCGCCACAACATTGGCGCAAGGCACCGCACAAAACTGGCTTGGGAACGAGAGTTGCATTCGCTGTCTGAACGAGAACACACAATTATCAATATTCAATAAATATCGACAGAGAAGATGTTGTAGTCATTTGTCTTATTTTAGAAAGGTTAAGTCTCTTTCTTTCTGAAGAAATGACTCACTGCTATCGAGGCGGAGAGGACCAGATGAGGCAGAATAATACATAAAAAATTGTGATTGACTTTAATGATAATTACCTTGTAAAAGCAATAAACGAACAATAAAGTAAGGTGGTAAAGTAAAGTTATCCTTGTATCGTGCCGCGGAGGCTCCCACATTTTCTAGACAGTCGGCTCACAGATGGCGCTGAGTTTGTCAGCCTTATACGCCGGCCGCCCTTTAATCCCCAGGAAGACCCCTGGTACTCATTTCTGTTAGAGGCTGAGTCGACCCAAGGGCCATAGTGCAGCTGCAAGCTTTAGTTCAATTGAAAATTTCAACCTCATCCGGAATCGAACCCGCGACCTTCCAGCTCGTAGCATAGTGCCTCAAGCAACTACGTTACAGTGTGCGCCGCAAGTAAGGTGGCATGTGCAATTTTAACATTAACAAGACATTGCCAGGAAAACGCCCATGAGGAAGACTGATACAAAGCCTTGAAGAGCCTTCATCATGAGACAACAGAGCGACGCCGCAGAGGAATATCTTCATCTTCCATTAAGGAGAAGTGTAACCACAAGAACCAAACCGCTTCTAGATTATAACAAATATCGAACTAGTTCGCTTGTGGACTAAAGTCACGGAGTTTTTTATTGAACATTATTTTGTAAATAGACTAACTGTAATGATTTTAGATGTTTTATCAAATGAATGTACACCTTAGTATTAGTTAAGGATATAACATTTATATCTATGACATGTAATAGTAATTTCCATGTGTTGATATCACCCTTCTGAAGATTTTGACCGAAACATGTAAAAGATGAAAAATTAAAAACACAACCTTCATCAGTCACACTGGACGGTGGTTAAAAATCTTATATACTGATACCAAGATGTGAAACACATGCGGAGAAGGGGGAAATTGAGAAGCCCTGGGAACAGACAGCCAGACAGATCTGGTTGCTAGAGGACTCAGAGGAAGGTGAAAATGTCTGAGAAAGTACAAGAATAATAATCTCATATTTTAGCTCATATGTTAATTCAGCTCAGGAAATTATTTTCACATTAGAATATTCTCTCTCTCTCAGTTTAACCTCAACATGAAACATATTTTAACACAACTGTTTCACATTAATGTACATCTGATGGCAAAACAAATACATTATTATTCTGTATAAAAATCCATGAATTCATATAAATTTTTACATGAGTGCATTAACCTTCAATTAATACTTTAAAATGCACTGCCTGCCATCTGCTTCTTCTTACTTTCTGGCTTGGTTCACTTTTGAACACTGGTGGACCTCCACGGGTCTACACGGCGTCACATCCCAGAAGGTAGCACCGTTCATAGTCACTGCTGGTAGAACCTACAATAAACTGATCTGCACCAAATCAATTGAAGGGAACCACCATATGCAGAAATTCTTCTACACAATACATCTGTAACCAATGACACTACATCTTACATTAGATCACTTTATGCTTTACTGCGGTTTACAAGGGCAACATTGATGTTAGCCATATATATCTCATCCTGTATAAAGTAAGTAAACCCTCACTAATCCGGTTACAGCTAACCTGGATCAAAATATGAAAAATTCTGTTCATGAACGAATGAACTCCTTGGTTTTAGTCCACAAACGAACTATACCGACCGCGCGACCGTCGCTAGTTGGCGAAGTTAGGCTGAAAACCCACCGACTAGACTAGTCGCGAGCGGCTAGCCGCACTTTGTCGCGCGCGTCCATTACTTGTATATACTAGGCACGCAACAGCTCTGCCGCCTGTGTGCCGCGTTCCAAAACTTAAACGCGGGCGGCTCATAAAAGCAATACAAATAACGGCCGCGAGCGACAACACTCGACAAACCGTGCGCGGCTGGTCGCGTCAGTGGGTTTTCAGCCCTAGTGACAGCTGTAGCGAATTGAGGGTGTCGCGTGGTCAGCGCTACAAATCCCCACGGCCGTTAATTTCGGTTTTCTAGACCGGAGCCTCTATTCCCTTGAAAGAACTCCTCAACTATCCACACGAGGCTGAGTGAACCCCGTTTCAGATCCACTACTTCTCAGAAAATCTGACAGCGCCAGGAATCGAACCCGGACCTCTGGATCTGTAGCCAGAAACTCTGACCACTAGATCACACAGTTGACTAAAAAAAGTTGTTATTCCTGTGCTTAACTAATTAAGCACTATACCATGAAGGCATATCAGGAAGCGGATGTATAGATCCACATTTTCTTGACCTTGACACTAGCAGGAGGTGAGTAGTCACTTTCATGCACCTCCTGCTTTACCCCTGGGGAAAGAGCCCCTGATACCTATTGGATAGCAGGCTAGGCAAGCCCCAGAGCCAGTTTGGACATGGTGAAGACAAAATTCTTGACTGTACCAGGACTCGAACTCTGCCCCCTTGGTCATCCAGCCTGTAGCCAGTCGCTATACCGACTGCGCTATCCCAGCTCCTATTCACAGTTGAGTACATACTTCAAAAGAAGCATGGGATTTAGGAGCAAGAGGACTTTCAGACTGTGTAGAGGGCAGCTGGAGACTGAAACCATGAAAGAAAATATCCGAGATTGACTTTAGCTGGATGAAGGAGACCATGGATTTCATCTTCTGACAGAAGGAGAAACAGCTGCAGTGATATTCTTTTATTTATTTTCATCAGCATTACCCACAATATTACATTTTATATTTATTTGTTTTCTACGGTTTCTTTGTCTATTTGTTTTTTTTTTTCATTATTCCAGATGAACTTCCCCCATTTAATCCAGATTGGCGAGGGTTTATTGTATTTGTAATGCAACATTCAACACTACCCACTACTGCATTACATGTGCACATATGAGTAACTAATGTATTGTCATAATGATAATCACAGCATAAACATGTCAAATATTTGGTTTAGTATTATCGACCATATAATCTTAAATAATGGCGAAGTTTTGGACGTTAACAAATATTCATTTTCAACACCTTAAACACCATATATATCATATTTCACAGAACAAACAATTAAAGCTATTTTTCTTAAACTGTTAAAACATGCAATGCAAAGAAAATTAAATACAGTTTAACCATAAATGATATGGTATACATACTACTGCAATACTTCTTAGTCCTTTCGTACAGCTTGATGAAGAATTCATGGTGCGTGCATACAAAATGGATTGCCTTAGGGGCAAGGAGACTAGAAGAGGGCTGTACTATCGATAGTAACAAGCGGAAGGATAGCAATTTCCTTTCTGTCTGAAGCATCATCACATCAGATCCTGCAGACTGTAACACTCAGTCTAATTTCTGACAAAAGTAAAGCAGTAACATGTAACCTGGTTGTCAACAGACTATCACAGCCATGGCATCCTCAACTCTGCCTGTCAGATCCCAGTTTATCATGCCTCAGTTAAGTGCTACAACAATCCATGTGGAATTTGTGGTGGATAAGGCAGTACTGGGACAGGTTTTTCTCATAGTAATTCATCCCCACTGATCACAGGCATGAACTGTCTTCGCCCACTCAAGCACTGGGATCATGGGTTAAAATCCCACTCGAGGCATGGATGTCTGTGTTAATTCTGTGTATAGGTAGAGGCCTTGCAACGGGCTGATCCCCCATTCATGGAATCCTACCAACTCTGAAAGCAGCCAAGGCCCAACAAAGGTCTGTAGAGCCACGGCTCTATCTCTCTCTCTCTACCTACCCACTCACCCGTCTACATATAGACTACATCCCACAGAGGCTCTCTATTTCTCCCCTCTTTCGGCACTTTCACTTTCGGCATGAGTACAGAAAGCTAAACAAACTTTGCTACAGACTAGACACCACTAATGTGAATGGCCCCCAGCTTCAAATGAAGAAGCGTAAAAAACCTCATGGAGACTTCGGAAATAAATAAGTGAAGTCCCTTATCGGTTGAACAGTATTATGTTGGTAGCGGCTACATGTGAACGCTTCTGACTAATCTCCTCACGGCCACTTTGATAGTATGCGGATGAGGCAAGTTATGAGTAGAGGATCAGGGAGGTCCCGTCCTGGGTATTGCATCAGTAACATGAATCATGACGAAATGTTGGGTCAAATATGCAACATATTCTTGCATGGAAAAGAAAAATTGTACACACACGACCATGATTAAAAATTTGAACATATAATTAAAAAATATATATGATAAACATTTTAAAAAGGAAATATGCAGTATAAATATCTTGGAAAATATGATGCTTATTCATAAAACAGGCAAAATATGCATTTATATGCACCATCAAACCATGTCCAAAATTTAAAAAATTAAGTAATTCATACATATATCCAAACAAGCATAGTTTCTGGTTGCAAGAAAGAAATATGCATTTGCATTAAAATCTGGTCCCTACTCATTACTCTTCACACAGGTTTCTTTCTAGTTAATTAGCTTTTATGACATTTACTTTTTATTGTGCAATAGAGTTGGTATATTCTTACAGCTCTACCAGGATTTGAACACACGTATCTCAGTGCCCAGTGCTGTGTTTCCCTTGCCCCATCCGTTCTACTGTGATGTTGCCGCAACTGCTTCTACTGCCTGAGCTCACAACTGCACAACTGTGCACAACTGTGCCACAACTGTGGCTTAAATGAAGAGTGACTCTCACAACCAATTCCAACTTTTCTAACTGCCGTCTCAAGACCAGACTCTAATAGTAGCTGGCCCTTGTTACACAGCCTCGGCACAGACTGCACCGGGAACACCTCTCCCAACAGTTTTTATATTGTTGCATCACACAGCTATTGCACAGACCACGCAGAGAACAGGATTTCCCATTTCGTTGCGTGTTACGAATCTGCTGCCCAACAATGAGCGCATCTGCAGAGCCGTTCCCTAGCAACAGATGTCTCTGCTGGCTTTACAGTTCTTGACTTGAGCAAATATGCCACAATATTATAACCCAATATGGAATTTGCAGAATGTAACAAAAAGATGCAGGATAATGTAATCAGTACACACACAGCCAAGTGACATCCACTTATTCAGACTTCACACGAAACAGAATGAAGATTAGTCTCCTGGGATGTGTGGCACTGTTGCTTTGTATGTACGTTAGGTACCAGTGCTGCAAAGGAAGATGGCAGAAACAGTAAGGTTCCTTTGCAGGACTGGTACCTATTTTCCAAATGAGACAGCATCACAGCCCAGTAGACTACAATCCTAATATTCACTGACATTATAAAGGTAAAGTTCTTACGCTTAATTAAATAATCACCACTTCATGAAGATGTATGATGGAGTGGAAGTATTCATTCATTCATTCATTCATTCATTCATTCAACAATGGCACTACAGCACTTTGTTGGGCCCTGGCCTCTTCTGCAGTTTCATAATCTTTTTACGCAGATGGTAGAACTCCTTGGAAAGTGATTAGCCTGTCGCAAGGCCGCTATCTACACACAGAACAATACAGGCACAGAATAAATACACATACAGACATTAATGTCTTGAGAAGGATTCAAACCCACGTTCCCAGCGTTCGAGTGAGTGAAGACAGTTCATGCCTTAGACCACGGGGCCACTGTGGAGGTATAGCTACACATATTTTAACCTTGACACTAGATGGGAATGAGCGGTCAGTTTCATGTCCTGGGCACTTTATCTCCTAGGGAAACAGCCACTCGTGACCAGTGGATAGAAGACATGGTTGGCCCTGCAGTTGGTGTCTGGAAGGTGTGCAGAACAGACAAATCTCTTGCTCCTGGCAGGAATTGAACCAATTCCTTGGCAGTCCAGCCATAGCCCTCGGCTACATCAACTAATTTGTCACGTTTAGAACTTGAAATTTCAAGGGTGTTTGAGAACAGGGTGCTGAGGAGACTATTTCAACCAAAGAGAGATGAAGTGACAGGAGGCTGGAGAAAACTGCATAATGTGGAGCTTCATAACCTGCAATTTTCTCCAAGTATAATTAGAATGATCAAGTCAAGGAGAATGAGGTGGGAAAGCAAGAGAGAAAGAGACCATTAGAAAGACCAAGACATAGATGAGTGGATAGTATTAAAATGGATCTTAGATAGGATGGGGTGGTATGGACTGGATCAATCTGCCTCAGGATAGGGACCGGTGGAGGGCTCTTACAGTAATGAACCTTTGGGTTCCACAAAACGCTGGGAAGTTCTTGAGTAGTTGTATAATTAGTGGCTTCTCAAGAAAGGCTCTATTCCATGAAGTTAGTCAGAAGGAAACAAAATGGTATTCTTCAGGTCTTAAACTCCTTGCATGATTCAAAACATTACTGAACAGAGAAAATGGAGGTAAGACCAAAAAGAGAAGCGCTTTAACTCTAATTTATGTATTTTTGCTTTCTTCAGACTGGACAGGGCAACAGTAAACAGAATAGCCATTCTGTACAAATCATATTATTATTGTTTGCACTTCCATTTTACCTTGCAGCTTCAGTGTTGTCTATCTGTCATACAGTCACCTGAACATTCTGCACCATGTTACTCCATTCAACTTTTGATGGCACCAAATAAAATGCTGGTGAAATTTTTGAACCACATGGACATTGACAGCCTGTGAAAGAAAACATAGTCTTCCTGAGGCCTGCCAATTTGTCTTTATTCTGTCCTTATGTAGAAGTCATATATTAGTAGTTACAGATAGGACTAACAGATGGCAGAGGTAACAATGCTTCAGTCAGCATTGAAGTCTTAGGTAGGCCACACACTGGCATGCATCAAGACATGTAACAGTCAAGGCATGATGTCTGTGACATGACACAAAGAAAGGGTCACAGTTGAAATGAATGAGATTATGAAAATACCGCACACCAGTCTGAGTCATGATGCTGACGTCTCATAATCTCAATTTCAGTGCTCAAAGAACAAAGTTGACTTGTGTATAAACTTTTAAATCAGAGTTGCGTCATTCTGTGCATTAAGGTAAACATTTCCTGGAATATGAAATGTTGCACAATTTATTTACAGTATATTTCCTGACTATCCATGCAGAACCCAACTTAGATCATCCATTTGTATGCATGAAACAACTCTATGATGACCAGATGGATATTTACAAATTTTATGGGAAAATGTCCAGCTATTCAATTCATTTAAACTGGAAAATTCTATCACTTCATATGAAGGCCTATGAACATTTCTGCAATTATCCTAATACATATACAACTGCAAGAGAGAAAAATGTTTTGAACCAAAGCTGTTAAGAAAAATGACTCTTCAAGATACACAAACAAATAGGACACTACGCGTACATTTTGAGTTTCGGTACATCTAGGATTACTCATCTTATTCAATAACCTCCTTCTCTTCCAGGAGCATGAATAATCAGTATTTTTTTACACAATATTTAGCTTTACTGCAGGACTCTACCGACATTTTACGGAAACAATACTTATACTAGTAAACATAACACTAGAATTCATAAATATGTTTTCTTTCACATATATTTTATTGAAAAGTTTTAATTGGAACAGTTCCAGCCCTTCACTGCAAGCATTTAAATCCCTTATTCCCAAATGACTGAGGTCAACAGTAATATTACATTCAAGCATCCTCTTGCATTGAGGCATAACTCTCACTCACCTCCATCTTTATTGCAACCTGTATACACGTGAGAACATACACATAAAGGGGGCAGAAACATGGACACCACAAAATGGAGAGGGAATTTTATTCTCAAACAAACACATTTTACGATATGGAACAATGTGGAAATACACTGACTTACGATCTAGTGCAGTGTGACAGTTGCAATAAGAGAACAATTGCCTGAATATGGCCAAGTAGGGGCAAAACATGTAGCAATTAATGTGATTTTACAATATTATATTTAAGCATCCTGTTGCACTCTGTATGATATAAACTCCATCCTAAGTGCAACAATTTATTGTAGGTCTTTCATCTTGCTTTCTTCTACACTACATGTTTCGGCAGCAAACGGCCATCATCAGGTGTATACACTCACGTAGCTGTTACACTGCATTGCACACGTAGTAAAGATAAGCAGCGGCACGCACACAGGGAGCCTACACAGAATAACATATGTACAGTGCTGAGAACAAGAAGTAGCCGCTACAGCACTATAGACATAGGCCAAGTAACCCTGAGAATTTTAAATTTTAAAATTTTGGGGGAAAAAAATTATAAAGGAATTTTTAAAATTGGAACTGAAAATTTTAAAAGTGCCAGTTCATGAAAGTCAAAATTGACGTGTGTAGGTAACAAAGATAATGTACAAATCAGACAAATATCAGCGAAGTAGATTCTGTTAGCAACGACAAAGGGAACAATTGGGAAGACCAGTGTTTTAAATTTTAAACTAAGTGCAGTGTAACAGCTACGTGAGTGTATACACCTAATGATGGCAGTTTGCTGCCGAAACATGTAGTGTAGAAGAAAGCAAGACGAAAGACCTACAATAAATTGTTGCACTTAGGACGAGTTTATATCATATATAATGTGATTTTATTTTCATTTTAAATTAGAGAGAGATTGTGAACAGATCTAAGTTGCATTAAGAACAGAGATGAATGAGTGACTGAGGTCAAGAGAATAATTGTAATTTTTTAAGAGAACAACAGGACACTCAACAAGTCAGCAGCCTGCTCAGCACTCAAGATAACTGCAACTATGTAAAACACATTACCCATAATCCAGCTGAAGGAACCCAACTTCGACTTGCATTTCGGGCAGTGAATTTTCCCTTGAAGTGACTGCGTGACTGATGACATCCAAGCAAGAGGCTCCACGAAGTATGTTTCGGAACACAACATCATCGCTTCTCTGTCTTCAGTCGACCACTTTTTATCAGTCCATGATGGCCTTTCTTTTGGTATGTGAGGTAACAAGTTTGATGCAGACGCTACAATGCGCCTGAAAGTAGAGCTCAGTTTGTACAGATTCTTAGTGCTACACTCTACAAGCAACTCTCCTCACCCTGGTACCTCCAGAAAAAGAATTCAATATTACCATGTGGAAGACAGTAGATTTCTATTAAAATCCCTGTAGCAGCGAACCTGTTAAAAACCCGCAGGTATCTCACAACTCACATGATAGTTGCATGCACAAGACTGGTCACATAATTCTAAATCACTGTTAGTATTCCTCTCTCTGATTTTACTGGCTTACAATTTTCATTGAAAAATACTTATCTCATTCAACTTGATACAATTTATTTCAGATGTTCACAAACCTGAATTTTCTTACATAAAAGGTAAAAAGGTAAAGCTATCCGTGTAAAAGGCCATGGAGCTCCACAGGGTTGAGACGTAGAGGTTTCCACATTTTCTAACAATCAGCTCACAGATGGCAATAAGGATATCAGCCTTATGCACCAGCCACTCTCTACCCCCAGGAAGATTCCTGGTACCCATTTCTGTTAGAGGCTGAAATGACCTCACAGTCATGGTGCAGCTTGAAGTATTAGGTCAGTTGAAAAAATCCTGTGACCTCATCAGGAATCATACCTGCGACCTTCCGGCATGTAGCATAGTGCCTCAACCAACTACGCTACCATGTGCCCCCAAACTTTCTTATATTGCATAAATAATTTCATTATATTTCAGCATATTGCTAGTGGGGTGGGACTAAGTCCCTTGCACTGCGGCTACTTCTGGCCTATTGTACCAGCCCCAGATGATAGGTGAGGGTGATTGTGGAGCAATTGGTGGAATGAAGATTGGCAGGGGAAACCGAAGTACTTGGAGAAAGCCTGCCTGAGCTCCACTTTGTCCACCACAAATCCCACTTGATAAGAACCGGGATTGAAGCCGGGCCACTGCGGTGGGAAGGCAGTGATTAACCGCTTGAGCTATGGTGCGGCCTCATGTTTCAGCCTTAGTAAATAACTAAATATGAGAAGTTCAGGGAAGAAATAATAGCCTAATCTCCTTTCACTCATTACATACAAGTAGCCCCAACATGGACAGCACTTAAGACAGTGTGTCCAACAGTTCTTCTATTGTTGCATGTGTATTCATTGCCATGGAAATGTGTTTATTAAGCCATTGCCTGCTAACGTCCACCTCTTCTGGCTCCAATGTTCCAGCTTTCAGGAATCATGTCAAACTGCTCTTTCCTTCCTTAAGGCTCCTCAGCAATTTGAGAGGCTGTGATGTTGGTATTACTGATGGAGGAATTTATGAAGTTTGCTGTTGAGATGGCATCAGGGGTCATGATATACATACCAAGTTTCATAAAAACTGGTTCAGGCATTCAGAAGTTAATAATTGGGGGGGGGGAGATACACATGTGGACACAGAGACCCACACAGACAGCATGGTAATCTCTTAAGCATGCTTTTACTTTTTCAAAATAAGGAAAGTAGGCTATAAAAGTATCATATAAGGGAGAGTCAATAAATAGGTCACATATGTATATAAAACATGTGATATTCAAACCTGGAAGAATATTTATTTGACATATCCTCCACCAACATCATTACACTTTTACCAGTGCGTTAAAACCCACAGCATACACGACTCTTTTGACTGCTGTCTCAGCCACTTCAGCACCTCTATTTCAACCTCTTTGTCCTCGGGAGAATTTCTGGACTCAGTTATGAACCATTTTATGTGATAAACATATCATGTTATATTTTAGCGTCCTGTTGCACTGATTTATGTCCATGATTTATTCTAACAGTCTTACAGTGCATACATTTATTCACCTTACTCTTCTCTCTTGCACTACATGTCACATGATAAACATATCTTTATGAACATCCTTTGCATTGCGTCCTTTTGCCTTTTGACTGCTGAAACCAGCCTCTGAACATGCACATGTACACCTGCTTCCTAAGATTGTCATGTAGCTGAACTGTGCTGCTACCTAGTGATACACATAGAGAACCTAACACATCCATTACAGCTGTTTCCTAGTATGATGTATTGTTAATGCAGGATTTGGGTAGGTCAAGGGATACATGTAATGTGGAGCTAAAAATATAATGTTTTGCAATCAGAGGAAAATTAGGACACTTACAAGTTCCAGAACTAGTTTTTTCTAATCTTTCAATATGGAATGCCTTGCAATGCTCATGACATAAGCGTTCAGTTTGCCCTGCCAATTCACATTCCACCAACTGCTCCCATATTCATTAATCAGCCTATCATCAGACACAACATAGCCTTGATAATGAAAGCACTGTTAACCAACCAGCTTAAAGAAAAAGAAGATAAATGAAGAGTTGTAATCTATCTCTCCATCAAATCAGACATTTACACAATGGGGTTGCCCGTCAAATAGTATCAAATATTAAATAACAACATACAACATAACAACGGGCCTCTGAACACCACATCAGCCATTGTGTATATAATACGAGGGGGTACCCAAAAGAAACCGAACTTATTTTTTTTTAAACTTATTTATTCAAATTTTAAGCACAAACCTTCAATCCCTTTCAAAGTACTCTCCACTTACACTAATACACTTGTCTAGTCTTTTATTCCATTTTTCAAAACATTGTCTAAATTCATCTTTTGAGATGCTTGACAGCGCCTCCGTCGTTTTTTTCCTTCACCTCAGCAACATCAGCAAAACGCTTAAAAAATTTTGATCATTTCGGGACTCTTCTTTCGAAGCACAGAATGCTTCCACGCGACCTTGTTTTTGTTCAGCAGTCAGCAGTCGTGGCACGAATTTCGCAGCCACCCTTTTCATTCCCTAATCTTCTGTCAAAATTCGCTGAAGTGAGCTCCAAGTCACTCCCGACAGCTCCACAATTTCTTCAATGGTCCGTCGTCGATCTTCCTTGATGATTTCACGAATTTTTTCAACATTTTCATGTGTTCGGCCCATTGCAAAAACGACAATCACACAAAACAGTTGTCACTATAAACTCTGCCGAAACTAGTCCTTACCTTCTGAAGCAACGGTAGTCGGCTTATCGACTCAGGAATGTTAGCTCTATGCGCTCATAGCGGCAAAACGCGGTACTACAAAAGCTCTGCCCACAGAAAAATTAGTTCGGTTTCTTTTCGGTACCCCATCGTATGTCCGTGTAAGCATTACATATATTACAATTACAACTGCCAACTTCCAAATATGATCACATATACAACTTTTAACTATACTTTTGACTATGTAAATGGTTATTTAAGACTTCAATCTTTATTGCAATTTATATTTTATATTCACTCATATCATTTGATACAATTTTATACACTTACAAGTTTAGCACTGTATCCTATATTTGACATGCAATTCAATAACGAAAAGTTAAATGTATTTGCCTGATGATGGCCTTTCGAAGGCCGAAACATGTAGCAAAAGTATCTCCTAGAGCTACTTACACGTATTATTGATTGTTGTGTCATGACGGTTTTCAGTAAGAAATAAGATAAAAGAACTACACATTGTAGAATAACAACGGGTCCTCACAGACTGCACATTCTGTAACATCTGGTTCTGTATACTGAACATAGGAGAAGCACTGCATCCTTGTCAGTAAAGATGCACACTTTCATCTGATATACAACATCGAACTACTAGATCAATTCTGACTAAAGGTTTTTGCCTTTGCACAATAATACCATCAGATTCACTGATGAGCTTCATAAAAGCAAGAACACATAATGGGACCCTCCTAAACTTTCCAGAATACAGTTCATAACTCTGACTTACAAGTTAATGCATTCCTGAAAACAAGTTACTTATCATAACATGGGATATACAGGATTACATTCCTGGAACTCAGAACTAAGCCCAATTTTTAAATATTTTAACCCATATTATGCTATAATTGTACTGATATTAAATATTTAACATAATAAAAATATTAACATGAAATGAGAGAATATTTTATGTCCCATGGATAATTTAGGTTATCACTCGAGCCACCATAGGATTTACAATACTGATGAACAATTTAATTAACATGGGAGCTTCCTGAAGGGGTCCGCTTGGCAAAGAACTTCAAAGAGTGGTCACAGGGGTGTTGGGGCCTCCTGAAGCCACACTCAGCATATCTCCTTGTAACAAGGAAGAAGGTCTGCCAGAATGTTGTTACCCTTTTAACATAAGCTCAGTGGTTTGCATGATGTTCAGTGCAGCACCCATACACTGCAAAAACTCAGCCAAAGGTTTCAAAATCCAATTTGTAAGCCTGAAAATCCACATCATCTGACTAACGGATATTAATTTTATCAGAAATTCATTAGGTCGCAAATTGTAAGTCAAGGAATGATTGTGCATTGCATCTTATAGTAATTCAATAGAGAATTCCAGAATTTGCATACATACCAAGACAAAATATTGCAATAAATGAGGCACTTACTTCATAGCAAGGAAGACTATCTTTCAAGAATACATGCCCCTGAAATCCTCAAAATGAGACCCATGAGCTATGTGAGTCTACGTCAGGCTGTCTCTTACACAGGCACAGACACTATGTTGGAATCAACACCAATTCCACAAGACATACGCCGAACATCAGCTGTTGTGCTGTCACTTGTGGAGCCATTGTTGGGTAGGTGATATGTTGCTTATGGACAGCTTAAAAAATGTAAGATTTGAGGTTTTCACAGTGGTGACTATGAAGCAAGCAGTCTTCTGGGATGTGGCACCGTGTAGATGTGGTGTTAACCGACGTTCCCCCGAAACGTAGGTTAACACCACATCTACACGGTGTCACATCCCAGAAGACTGCTTTCTTCAACTTCAACAATGCTACAACACTGCATCAAAAACCAAAGTCAATGAAAACTGACTGCATCGGGACCCTTAGCAGTCTAAACATGAAGACATTACAAGAACTGTTAAAGACAGGAAACTGAAGCAGAACGAGGAGACAGACAAACATTCTAGGCAAGTATCCCCCCTCAAATCGAGTGACGTCATCATGATTTCAACACATTACAGTGGTGAGACACAGATGATAAAAAAAACAGGGACAAAAGAAGGAAAATAAGGTAACAGCCCATCTAAATACGACCGGAGTTGATTCACCTGTACCTCCCTTGAAAGAAAGAAAGGTAATCAAGTGTACATTAAAATGTACTGGAAGGTGATAAATAACCGTGTTTATCTGCACAGAGAAATGCACCAGTAACAAAGATTTCCCATGTGGCAGAGCTGGTACATAATGGCAAGAAGAAACGAAAAGTGACAGTAAGGCATTCTGCAAACAGAGCAAGCTTCAACTAATCAAGAGACAATTTACAACCATACCTCCATTCCCCACACATCTTCAAGCCCAGCAAAGAGGTGTGTGTTGCGTGCTAGAAACATAGTGAGAGGAAGAAAACAGTGTTACGTCACCTGATTATGAGGCTAACCTCTGTGTACAGGGACACTTCAAGATATGCCACGAAAAGCTCAACTGATAATGGATTAAATTTCCAATACGTACAGCATGTAGTGAATAACTTGTCTAACTAGTCAATTCTAAAGAGTTCTGATGAGTAGATTCGAAAGGGTTCTGATGATGGTGTACAATACTCAGAATTACTGTGTTTTCCGACTTTGTCCATTGTCCAGTATTCTAGAAACTTCGTCCAGTGATTGAGGTTAGCTCTTTCTAAGGGACCCAACAAAGTAGTTGTCTTCCAACTTCCTCACCTGAGGATGGAAACAGATCCAGTTTCTGAAATGTTGTGTTCTCTAGTTTCTAGAATACTGGACAATGGACTAAGTCCAAGAACCCAGTGATTCTTAGTTCTGATGATGGGACACAGTGCTTGGGATTACTTAGTTTTTGGACTCTGTCTGTTGTCCAATATTCTTGAGAATACCAGTTGCCTTAGGCTATCAACTGTTGAGATGTTATGTCTTCCTATGTAAAATCCAACATAAAAAATAAAAAATTTAAATGTCCAGGCAGGAAGCATTCCCACAACACCGTTCGGACTCCATATTTACATGGTTCCACTCTGAAGGGTTAACATATTTAGTTAGGAAAATGTGATGATAAAAATATTAAAATTGTTGAACTGATGATAATTTTTCCACACATATTTACTGGTCCACATTTTGTGCTTTAAAAAATCTGACTTCCTCACTCTACAACCAGCCAAGGACTTGGTCACAGGTAGAGTCCCAAAAATGTGATAATGTGCTGCCTGATCTGGGCTATCATACACCTCAGAGGGCAGTGATAAATGAGCATCGAGAAATGGTGGAATGATGGTTAGCAGGGAAACTGAAAAAGCTCCCTTTAAATGGTATATATAAGAACAGCTAACCTCCAGTTCATGATATTCAAAAAACCATACTCTTTGACAGAGGTCACTACATTACCGTCACTTGAACAGAATACATACCTGCACTTCCGACATCGATACACAAGAGGTTCTGGTTTTACTGTGATCAGTGACGGATCAGATTTCACCACATCCATACAATTCTGCGGTAGGATTTTGACTAAAAATTAAAAATAAAAAGTTCTTAATACTGAAATAGACCTAAACAGATCTCATTCAACAAATACATTATATTAATTTCCTTCATAAGTACCTACCTTTCTTGACTTGAGTAGCTGCAACGTGTAACCTGTACATGCGAAACTGAACATTAGCTTTATCCACTTGCCACTTCATCGTCTCGTAGAGATGTAACTGGGAAGTGAAGCCTGGGTTCGGCCCAACAAACCTACGTCTAGATTTTACACTGTAAGAGAATGAAGAGAACACTGACCAGTGGTTGTAATCTGAAGAACATGGCACTAACCAGAATACTGTCCCAAGAAATTCAAGTAATCTGACGGATCTCAATGCTGCCCAGTGAATTCAGATGGTACAACTTTCAAGGACACACTTCACTGCTCCTCATTGTTCATTTACTGCATCACATCTGTGGCCCTAGCAGCATTCCTTGAAAAGGCCATCTAATCTTGATGAGTCAAATCTCAGTGATCACTCCTCCACAGAATTACAAGTTATAAGGAGGGGAAAGATTCTCAACCAATCCACCAACATCACTACTGTAACATCCCTCTTTTGCTAAATAATCAAATGATAACTTTATCTAAGCATTAATATATTATGTAATATCAAAAAGTTTAGAAAATGAACAGTTGGATTATATGATCAAAATGGCGCCTAGTCTGAAATTAACACTCCAGCTGCTCACACGGTCAAACAAAGAAACTCCGTGAGTTTAGTCCACAGTGAACTATACCGAGCGACTGCCACTTGTCGGCGAAGTTTAGTGCCAACTTTCTCTGTGGTCCAGTGGTCAGCGTTCCTGCCTACAGATCCAGAGGTCCGGGTTCGATTCTCGGCACTACCAGATTTTTTCTGAGTAGTAGTGAGCCTGGAACGGTGTCCACTCATCCTCGTGATGATAACTGAGGAGCTATTTCACGGAAATAGTGGCTCCAGTATAGAAAACCGAAATTAACGCCCATGGGGATTTGTTGTGCTGACCACGCTACACCCTCTATCCGCAAACGTTGGCTCACAGTCAATACAGGCAAAAAGAAAACCGTAGGACCCAGTGTGTTCTAGAGAGTTTTCTGTGTTCTGCCACTTCTCTCAGATGAACAGGCAGGGACTGACAATTAAAACTGTGGGGAGGGAATATAATGTAATGTAGTGGGTGTCAAGCAGGGGAGGGGGGGCATAGTGTCATGTTGCCTGTGTGGGCCTTTTATTTGAGTGAAATACTAAGGCTCCCTTCTTCACGACTGTTCAAGACACTGCTCACTCTGCAGGCAATGAGGGCTGATATCACCTCAGCACTCATGAGGAAATTCCTGAAAGGTGACATGACAGTAACAGCAGCTTGATAACCCAGCTCAGCTCAGTGCAGTGCAGAGCAGAGAAGATAAATGAGCAGGAGAACCCATACACAATTACAATTCAGCATACTCCACTGCCACATAATATATACAGTAAAACTTGGTTATAGCAACATCGGTTTCTGCGACACCTTGTCTATTGCGTCAAATATTCAATGGTATGAACTAATTCCTCATAAAGCAACTGTTTTTATACCTTGCTTAGTACGACATGCACAAATGCATCAACCTCGTATGTAACGTCATTTTCATTCCTGAATTTCTCTGATATCGTGGGAAAGTTCGATGTGTCTGCCCACCCTCACTTTCTCTACTTGCTGACGTGACTGTCCTGGAAGAATACGACCGCGGGCTGCAAGAGGAGCGTGGGTTTTATGCGAAAACAAGGGTGTGGGGTGGGACTGCGTGAATAGTGCAAGAGGACGCGGCAGGTTGTTAACTGCATTCCTTTCCTAGAATCTCGTCTAACAGGACCTCACATTGTCTACTTACCCTATAGTGTTCCTGCCTAAACCCAGAGAAGTGCAGTAGCGAAAACATGGCAATGAAAAGGAAAGTTTTAAGCATTGAAAAGAAAGTTAAAGTGATTCGTGAAATATTGTGTGTATTGTCAGTGAAAAGCGCTGTAATATGTCTTTGATATTACATATTTGGGCAATTCCACGTTAATGTTACGTTAGTCTGTACTTAACTACGTATTTCACTAAAAAATGCAACATTTTAACTCGGTTTTTGGTAGATTTTTACGTGACTAACATAAGGTTACTGTGGAAGTGCCCATTTCGGTTACAACAACATTCGTTTATAACGACACTATTTTTAGGTCCCTTTGATGACGTTATAACCAAGTTCTACTGTACTCTACATATGAAAATATGTGAAAATTCTGACAGTAATTTACCCAAAAAAATCTTAAAAACAACAAAACTGTACCTACCGTTCAAAGGCGTCCTCAAATGACAGTTCATATTTCTTCATAATATATGCTATGACAACTGTTGCACTTCGCGACACACCAAAGTAACTGAAACAAAACGTCATAAAAACGTTCTCATTTTTCATCTCCTGGAAGATTTGTGGTTAAACTGAACTAAAGTAGCAACCCCTATTCCAGTTTTAATGTCAATCCGTGTCTCTTACAACTTGTCTATTCAAAAGTTTCACAGTATAGTTCTGTACTTAGAGCTGACAGTCCTCCGACGCGGAGTAGGAGAAGTATTGGTAGTGGCGGGGAGAGCTCCGGCATGTGGACAAGTGTGGGGGCGAATGCAGTACAGGTGTTCTCAAAAGGAAATAACTTCTTACCTCATTCTGCTGCATAGTGATGGTGGTTTATTCTCGTTGAAGTTCACACATCCAACGTTAAGTTTTAAGTGCCGAGTGGGAGACTATTATGCACTATACGCTATTATACACTTTTCACTGTTATATACATGAAGAGTTTATTTACATATTACATGGGTCTATTCTAAAGGGGTAACACCGGCAATGTCTGCATAGATACCATCTCCACATGCCTGTCCTTCCTCGTCACCACCAGATGAATCGGAGCTATCATCAGAACTGTCATCATCACCGCCAACATGGAAGACGAACTCCCGTCCTGCGTCCAAAAGGCCTTCCCGTGCCATTAATTGTTGCTCAATGTTCCTTACATGTTGGCACCTACGTTGCCATTCTTCTGCAGTCATGGAAGCCAATTTTTGGTCTGCCAGTTTAATGACATCATTCATCTTAAATGTGGTATTGTTTTGAGCAACCCAATTATTTACGGTGTCCCATATTAACTCAATTGGGGTGAGTTCTGGGTGATACGGAGGGAGTCGTAAAACATTGTGATTGTGTTCTGCAAAGATTCATCTATTTTATAGGAAAGGTATTTCGGTTTGAGTGGTAGGATCATATTATATGTCTGGATTCCGCAGAAAAATCAGTGTTATTGAAGGTAATAGGTGGAAGGTGATATTTTAGCCAGGATATCATAAAATGCTGAACACATTTGGCTCTGATATATCGTTCCACCAGTATCTGCCAATTATTTTTTTTTCTTTCAGCGGAACCCCAGTTTCAAAATAATTTGATATATTATAATTTTATATACGTGTATGTCTGGATTCCGCAATGATGAAAAATCAGTGTTATTGAAGATAATAGGTGGAAGGCGATATTTTAGCCAGGATGTCATAAAATACAGAAGACGTTTGGCTCTGATGTCATATTGTTCCACCAGTATCTGCCAATTATTTTTTGTTTTCTTCCAGTGGAAGCCCAGTTTCAAAATAATTTTCTTTAATGTGGAGATGCATCCCTGAAAATCTAACGTTTTCTTCAACTTTTCGTGAACTTTTTTCAGGGTAGGACTCTGTTTTTTGACTATGTAGAGGTCATTAATTGTTCTTCGCACCACAGACTCGTTAAAAGTCGTCCGAAGTGGCTAGTGGAGATTTCCTAGGTCTTTCTTTAATGGGTGTCGAAAACGAAGTGGAAGCCCCAGATTCGATATTTTTTGTTTCTCGTATTATTCTTCTGATACTACTTTCCGATACACCTGTTGCCTTTTCTACTTCCACTCCTATGTTCTTCACTGTAACTGTTGGCCCAGCCTCTTTCATATACTTATATACATTACTAACAATTTCTCTTGATTGTGAATGCAACACTTTTCCACTCAATTTACTTCGTGTAGGTGGCATGTTAAAGGATATAGAAAAAAAGTACAAATATAAATAAACAAAAAAGAAAATCAATGAATAAAAATAAACAATAAAATAGAATATTAATACAATAATTAGAGAATAATACACTCAAATATGACTCCAAGAGTCAAAACTTTTTAACTTGACTGTACAAGGAAGAATGCTCTTGAGACGTCTGCTTGCACTGAATGCAGACAAATGACTAATCACAACACCCCTCAACTTTCACGAATGGACCTGCCCATCCACTGCGCAGCTTTTCCTGGACTGTCACCTCTAAATACTAGAACTCTACAAGTCTGTGTGACTGAAGCATTTCAAAGGGTAAATCATGCCTTGAGCTGGTAGCCCTGAGGAAGAAAAGTTCCATGCATTCAACAAGACCTCCAGTTACCAACATACATGGACAAAAGGCTACAGTAACTTCCTAATGATATAATAACCTATGTCACTGTCTGATGGTAACACACCCTCAGAGACATTTCAGACAAAGTACACCTCAGGCAAAAGAAGGTTAAATAAGAGGGAGTTTTCTGGTTGCCATGGCAATGACTATGAAGATTACTGCCTTATGAAATGTAGCACCGTGTAATCTGGTAGGAAAACGTTTCAGAGGAACCCCTTGCCCCAATCTTCCCACAAGAATAAAACAAGGGCAGGAAAAAGTGATTTGGTCCTTGAATCAGGACTTCAAGTGCAGTGGGCACTACCCTTCTTGGGGCATTCATGTTGCCCCTCTTCGGGCTTTCCTCTTCCTATGGTGAAGGTAAAGTTGTCCCTGTGTTTAACTAATTATGCTCAACACTAGGAAGAAGTATGGGGGAGTGGACATATAGATTCACATATTCTTCACCTCAGCACGAGTTGGAGGTGAGTGGTCAGCCTTATGCCCTGGCAACTTTACCCTGGGGAAAGAGCCCAAGATACCCACCGGATAGGAGGATGGGTGGACCCCAGAACCAGTCTGGACAACATCGAGAAGAGAAAAATCTTACCCCTACTGGGACTTGAACCTTAACTTTTCAGTTGCCCAGCCTATGCCACATTCATTTAATTTATCCTTTCTCTCCTCAGCTTGTTTATTTCCCCTCCTTCCCTTTCCAATCTGCCAATCAGTCTTTGCCTTTTCTGCATTCACTCTGCACTTGAAATGGCATCATAAGGACAACTGTTCCTTTACTCTTCATGAGATCATCAGATTTTTTAACTAACCTAATCCTTCCAGCCGCAATATGGCCCCGGGGTGAACTCAGCCTCTAACAGAAATGAGTACCAGGAATTTTCCTGGGGGAAATGGCAGCCGGCTGGCGCGTAAGGCCGATAACCTCACAGCCATCTGTGAGGTGACAGTCCATAGAAAAAGTGGGAGCTTCGACCTCTCACAATCCTGTGGTCCTTCATGGCATGTTACAGGGATAACTTTACCTTTTTTTAGCTTCTACTGGTTCATACAGCCACTATTTCTAATGAACACTCCGCCCTTAAAAAATGATCCTCTTAGGTAACAAATATTCGCTACACTGCTCTCCTTATTCCAATCAGTTCACTAACAGCCCAGGTCCTGGTTGTACTTCTTTATTCCACCCTACAGATGGAGGTAGCATCTTCCTTCACAACATCGATAAGGATATACTGAACAACATATCATCACATCTGAGAAGAAAATAATCTTCAATGGTGAGATGGAAGAAACTTACCAGTGTACCAGAACTGCCCCCTGCTCCTGACCTGTCCTAATGAACTCAGAAGTGTGTTCAAAGTGAGAAAGTAGGTCTTCACTTGGGATGTCAGTCACTGTGAACAGTGAAACAAGTCTTTTTCATCCATTTCTAGAAAACATACAACTAAAACTCGGCACAGGCATAAAGAAAGACACACTACAACATGAGCACATGTCAAAATCCATAAACATGACAGGCAAGATGATTAACAGCAATCATATGAGGTGTGAAGGTTACGGTCTTGCTGGCTGTCAAGCATTTAGTCAGTAAACAGGTACCAACATTTCAGAGGAGCCTGCCTTGAAAATGGAAGTGGCAGATTCTTCCAAAATGTCAGTACCTATCTACCGAAGTACATCGCGTAACACCCCACAAGACCCATAAACTTCAAAAGTGTCTGTTCTGGTTCTGTAAAGTCCTCTCTCTCTACAAATTCGGTATTTCAAGATCTTTGTGTGAAACTGTAAGCATAAGGCAAATAATGACGACAATAATCTCCTGTAACTTCCTTATTTTACTCTCACATCCAAGCCTAAACAAATGCAACAGCAGCACCAAAACAGGAGCCCTGGAGTTTTGATCAACATGTCTCATATCATGTCATTTTTGCCATTCCTCAGACCTATGCACCAAAATGCCCAAATTGTAAAATCCGTGAAGCATTCAGGACATGCCTCTCCAACGTTTCTAAGTGATTACTGATAAATGGTCACAGCTCAGGTGAAAACACTGCATTTAACACGTCACCCTTGCAAGAGAAAGCTGCCATTTTCACTAAGTCCATCACATCTTGCTTGCAGTGCTACATACATATATTCTGTGGCATGCACAATGTTATCACCTTAACGAACAACTAACCAAAATTATACAATGCTGTCACTCACATTTTTACAAATTTATGTTACAGATATCAGAACTCATTCTTCTGTGATGCCAATGGCTGAACACTGAATGATAAGACTGCTACATAAATAAGCTTGGTATAGTATTTAAAAACAAAGAGAATAAAACAAAAAGCACAGATAATAATTATACATGCACAAGGTGGAGATATTTAGTGTATCTATAGTTTCAAACACCAGATATTAAACTGAACCTTGCAAAAATTTAGTTTTCACCCCTGGCAGCATTGTTATTTTCCTTGGCAGTGGGCAGGAGTCGACGGTGAGGATATGGTTGATATGGTGCAGCTCTAGAACATCGTTATCTGTAGCAGCAGTTAAGTTGCCTGAAGCAAAGAAACACAGCAATTCTCAGCCATACCTAGCTGTAGACATGAACTCATCATTAACTCTTCAAAGTACACTGGCAACAATGTGTATGATCTGCCATTTAACATCAAAATAACTCTGCATTTCCTCCACAAAATTCATTCAAGTGTTTCTCACAATAACTGCTGAATACTACCTTCTGGGCTGTAAAGCTGTACAGTCCAGTAAAAATCCATCAACATTTCAGAGGAACACACTACCTCCATCTTCAGAGATGAAGACTAAGCCACGCAAGAAACCAACAAGCAACACAACAAATGACAAGCAGAAGACAGTACTCTTCATGGTCAACAATGTGAGAACCTCAAATCCGCAACTATTTTGCTAAAAAGCACTAACCAGCTGGCATTTGTAATGGAAACTCAGCACTGCCCATGCAGCTGGAACTATATTTCTTAATATTATTCATGCTTCATAAGATTAATTATAATCTTAATAGTCTGCATCCTGTTGTGTGTCTCACATAAGATATAAAGCATACAAGAATATACCGTCTACACAACAACACTCTGTATTTTAAAACAAAGAAGACACTACTGTATCAACATTTGTTTTATTAAAGCTTTTATGGAAGGACATGTTTTGGCCCCTATGTCAGGCGTACAGTGTTCAGCTTTAAGCTGCTGAACTGCATCCAATTATCATTCAGTTCACTAAATACTTAAATAATTAAGTATATTCAGTTAAAATATCGACCAAGACTTACTTCATATATATTTATGTTTTGAATTAAGTCCAAAAAACACAATAAGGATCCTTATTTAGTGAACTGAATGATAATTGGATGCAGTTCAGCAGCTTAAAGCTGAACACTATACATATCACGATGGCCTGACATAGAGGCCAAAACATGTCCTTCCTTAAAGCTTTAATAAAACAAATGTTGATACAGTAGTGTCTTCTGTTTTAAAATACAGAGCGTTTTTGTGCAGACGGTATATTCCTGTATGCTTTATATCTTATTAATTATAATGATACATTACTTAGACAATTCTAATATTCACACATGATAGCTGAGTTGGTATAGCGACAGGCTGGATGACTGGGGTTTGATTCCCAGCAGGGTCCATTTTTCTCTTGTCCACAATGTCCAAACCAGCTCTGGGATCCACCCAGCCTCCTATCCAATGGGAACAAAAGGATCTTTCTCCTGGGGTAAAACAGTTGGTGTGTGAAGCTGACCACTTGCCTCAATCTAGTGTCGAGGTCAAGAATGGTGGAGCTGTACCTCCACTCCTTCCATATCTCTCTACAGCATAGCACACGGCCAACTTTACTTCTGACCCATAACTCTGGCAGTAGGATACTTCTTAAGGAATAAAATTAATTGTAACAAGTCATAAACTCATTAGAACTTCAGTCTGACTTCATGAATTTATTTTTATTTATTACAGGATAATGGATTAGCTCAGACCATACAGTCCTGACCAGTAGAATGATTAATAAATTGAATGATGTGAAAGGAAGCAGTTATGGAATTTAGGTAAAGGGAATGGGGAAAACCATGCAAAACCTGTCAGGACAGCAGTCTCCAGGCTGAGGTATCTACCCAGGATCTCCTGAACATGAAACAGGAATGATTTCTGCTCTACTGTGACGTTTGCTGGATCAGATCGGTGAGTCTAGGCTGGCTGACTACATTTTTCTGGGGGCACTCTGTAAGAGATTCATTCTGGGGACTCTTTATTTTAACAATTAATGTAACATATGGCTCTTTCCCCTTTGTACACCAATATAACTGAACACAAGATTTCTGTCTTCTACAATGCGAAGTCATGGAGTCTTGACAGATTGTTACCGGTGACCAAAGGAAAATGCAGAAGAGGCCCCGAAATGTGGCAGGATTTTACTCTAAAATACCAGTGATGATCTGCAATCCTACAGAACATCACATCACTCATAGTTAGCAACCACCATGAAACAAAGACCCCACAAATGCAACACACCTTTCACTATATCACTGTTTTGCCACCAGCTTAAAACGTTTGAAGTCGTCCAATTTAAGCTAGTGATTAAATTGGAATATTAAGAGTAAGACTTGGTGTAAGCGGCGTATAAACAACTGACACCTATATCCCTGCGGCACGGAATAGTGGTGCCATAGTGTCAGTTGTTACGTGAAACCAATATAAATATATATATTATGAGCAAAGGATGCCGCTTATCGTTTGAAATATTACACTTCGCAGCTGCAGTCCAGCGAGGTCTCAGGAATCGTTGGGAATATCGCTGGACCAGCGGCTTCGAAGATATAATTGTAAGAGGGTATTGGAGGATTCAAAGTTGTAACACCCGCCTTCCGTTTGAATGATCGAATCAGAAGCGATGATGGAATATATCTGCGAGGGTGGGAGAATTAATGTCCCCAAACTCAAGGATATAGTCCGGGCTTCAAAGGGGGACTTCTAATTTGGTGATTCCGACGGATAGACATGTTCTGCAAATAATATATTAAACCAGTAAGCAATTGTAATGTGTGCAGTCGCATTATCATTACCCTTTGTCTCATAATCCAAGACCCGTAAACGATCCTGAGGAAGACTTTCATTGCCACCGGAACCCAAACAACATCAGAAAATAAAGGGCGTAAGAGCGGTTGCACGTTCTTGTGACATGGCAAATACTGCTCCTCAACATAATTCCTGCTTAACAAGCTTGAGCTGGGTCATCCATGTATCATTGGGGGGTGAATGAGAATTTTATTCCTGGTGAAATGAATGCCACAAGTAAACAGCATTCTGCGGTGAGGAGGACAATTCTGAGAACCACAGGTCCATCAGCCATGGGGTTCCTCATACACAGAGGGTCCAAGACAGAGCCCCCAATTAAAAAAGACTGAGGAAGTGATAATGCGCTGCCCAATCACACAACTATCAAACACTGCAGAGGACAGTACTATAAGAGTATGGAACAATGGTATGTATAATGATTACAGTGGGCAAACAAACCCCTTTCTGGAAGTGAACCAAACCTTCATGCCCAATCCTTTCTTAAATACATGAGTAAACTTTAATTTATTTCCGTCTGTAGATTCTGTAATGACACTTTTCATATAGAGTACATACACAGGTCGAATAAAAAGTAGTGGCAGCATCTCTATAGTTCTGCTATGACTTTATTACCTAAGGTAAACACACTAACATTCCTTCAATATAATCGCCCCCCCCATATGTACCACCTTCTGCCAAATTTGCAGAAGGTGTCATACACCATCAGTGCATCCACTTCTGTTGATGTCCAGCAGTGACCGCCCTACAGCACGAATAATCTCCTTTCGTGTTGTAATGTGTCCCTTGCAGTGGTTCTTTCATTTTGGGAAAGAGATCATAATCGCACAGACTCATATCGGGTGAGTATGGCAGATGTTGCAGTATCTCCCATTGCCAGTGGCGAAGGAGATCCTTGACAGCATCAGCAGTATGAGCCCTTGCATTGTCATGAAGGATGATGGGGTTCATTGCCAACAAGTGTCGTTGCTTTCTCCTGAGCACTGGACAAAGATGATTACACAGGAAATTGCAGTAGTAGGCACCATTTATTGTCTGTTGTTGAGGTACTGTGTGGTGCAGTATCACTCCATCAATGTCATATGCCAAAATGAACATCGCCTTCACATTACTCTGTGTAGGGCGCACTTTCTTTAGATGAGGGGAGCCAGGATGCTTCTATTCATTTGATTGTCGCTTCAAGTGCAGTTCGTATGAGCGAGCCCAAGTTTCGTCCAGAGTGACAATCCTTTCAAGGAAGTCGTCACCTTCTCTCTGGTACCAGTCCAACAAGTCCTGTGCAATTGCATAACATTGCCATTGTTGCACCTTGGAGATTATATGGGGTACTTAACGCGCTGCAATTTTGCGGTATCCAAGAATATCGTGCAGAATGTGGAGCACGGTTTTGTGACATACGCCTACCTCAGCAGCTAACTCCTGCCCAGCCCATCAACGATCGACATCCAGCAAAGAAGCAAGAAGCTGAATTGTGTGGTTGTCAACATGGGTTCGTCCTGAATGGCACCCCACCCTTTACGGAACAATTTCACCCATCCTGTCACTGTGTGATATGGCTATGCAGCATCATCACATGCTTCTCACAGTCCCTGATAACAGTTTTGTGCACTACGACCTCCTGCAACTTCTTTTTGTATCCAGAAGCATTGTTCTTGTTTCATAAACATGTTAGGGTGCTTGAACTGGGCTCCTGCACTGCAAGACGATGCACAATGCAGCTCAGTGAAACACAACGAGAGCCACTCACTGCACTACTTCAACTGAACTTCTGCTATCAGCTACAGACGGCGCTAGTGTCACTTGATGCACATCTTTCAAGTTACAGCAGTGTTCCCACTACTTTGTATTCAACCCTTGTAGCTCTGAATGGTAGGATGACAGATAAATCATGAATTAGAAATGATCCAGAGGTAGCAGTCATGGCTTATCATGGTACTATCCTGGCATTAGCCTGGAGGGACTGAGAAAAAACATATAAAACCTTTGTAGTCAGGACAGTGTCCTAGCCAAGATTTGAACCAAAAACCTCCAAAACATAAACCTAGGGCAGTACTTCTAGACCAGCCTGTTTGGTTTCAATTTCTTAATGTAAGTGTCATTCCTTCTTTAATGTTTGAGTTACTATATACTGTAGTGGCCTCCGTAGTCTAGAGGTAACATTCCCACCTCATGACACGTAGTACGCAGGTTCAAATACCCGGTGGAGGTCGTCGAATTTTTAAGGGCGGAAAAATTCAGGGAACAAGTCCTCCGGGAGGGACTTTAAGCTGTGGGTCCCGTGTCGTAGCTTTACGGCACGTAAAAGAACCTCGTATCTCCAAAGGAGGTCACTGAGCCAAATTATGGACGTTTCCCGCTCAACAGCAGTCTCTAATACCTCTGATAGATGGGGGAAGCATTATAGATACCTCTCAGCTAGTAGAGCCGGTCTCGCTGGCTGGGCGGGACTGATGGTAAGCACCAGTACCGGTAGGATATAGAGACTGGTAGAAATCATAGAGGGAAGCACAATGGACCAATACAGGTCTAAGTGCATGGGCAAACCCACCCTCTCCAATAAATAACTAACTAACTAACTAACTAACATATACTGTGATAATGAAAAGGTCATCAGCTTGTAATGAACAAAAATAAAAATAGAAAATAGATAACCCAAGCTTTTGAACACAATGTTATGGAAGACTGACACAGTTTTTAAATACAACTCTAATTACTTTAAAAACTGGTTATTAAAAATTAGTAAATAATTAAAACAGACTCAACAATATGATTGTGAGGTCATGTCTCACAACTTTCTCATAAACTCGCCTGCACCAAATGCACCAGTACCAAAACCAACTGAAGGTGTACTGCAGTACTGTATAAAAGTAGATGTGAGATTTGAGGCAGATATCAAGTAGTTTGGCATAGAGGATTTGGAAAAATAAAACTGTACATTCTGCATAAATTGATTAATTTTAGAGTGAATTATGTCAGACCAGGCATGTCCAACTTCAAACAGGTTGTGATCGACTTTTTAGTGTCAAACTGCCAGTGATCTACCATCCCCTCCTCGCTTTAAGCAAAAATATTGGTAAGAATAACACGACACATGATGTTTATTGTAAAAGCAACCAGTAACTGGGCTGTGTCTCTGATGTCTGCAGATTCATCCAGTTGCGGGGAGAAAGCAACACAACTGGAAACAGCTTTCAATAACTGTTCAGTTATGTTTCCACACATCATTTCTATTCGCTGCACAATGGTGTTTCTTGATAATTGAAGATCTTGAATAGTAGCTATGATCTCTTTCTTATTTTTAAATCCATCAAAAAGATTATCAGCTATTTCAAGAAAACACTCTTTTACAAAGCCTTCAGTGAAAGGTTTGCATTTTCTAACGATCAGATTGCTGACCATGAAGGATGATTTGGTTGCATTGTTAGAAAGTGACTTTGGTTTTGCCATCAACTGTTGTTGAGCAGTAAATTTCGATTTAAGTTCTCTGAGCTTAAGTTTAGGAATTTCACTTTTGGGTGGAAAATCAGCATCATACTTATTGCTATGGAGAGCATTATAATGACATTCCAAATTACCTTTTTTCTCAAGGATACTGAGGTGTTGCATTTTCCACTATATTGAGGTAACTGTTTTATCTGGCACACGCACACAGATGCTTTCGAAATTAATAAAATAACATGGGCAGATCACTTACTGTCCCTTTGATTACACTGAGCTCATCCCCAAACCGTATATTTGTTTAATGCGCAGCAAAGTGACAAATCTCCACTAACAGCTAATATAATAATACATCTCACTCGTTAGTTCAACATACAGGGATTCACAGTTGACTGGAGAAAGGGAACGAAGTGAATCACACGTTCTGTCGAATCACTCTCGCATCAGAACACACACGGCTAACGAGTGATAAAATAAGAGTTCATGTGATAAGGATAGAGTAGGGACTTCCCCACAGTTCACTTAACACAAGTGTAAAGCAATTTTCATGTAAGCTACATAAGAATAGAAAACTAGAAATGACTAATACTATTTTCCCTTCAAAATCTGTATACAATCATATTATATTACAAGTGAATTTACACATTTTTCACATATAATTTCCTTATAGGCCTATGAGATCGACCAAAAATCATCTCGCGATCAACTGGTTGCTCGTGACGACACGTTCGACATGCCTGTGTTATAACTATGGGAATGGCAGAGAGCTCTGCTCTATCAGTTCCCATTTGCGAGTTCATACTTTGTCCTACACCTAATTTGCTGGGCTTCTTTTCAGCTGGCATGCTCTGATACCCATACCAGCAAAGAAATGATGTGCACCAACAAACCTGGTGCTGCCAGAGCAGCACTATTTTTATCTTAAGGCTAAAACCATTGTGAGAGTACCAACAAACCTGTTTTAGAAAAACAGTCACTGTCAATAAGCATATGAAGAAAGCAAAGTTAGGTTAGGTAGGTTGGAGAGGTTTGTTAGGTTTATTATGGCACAATATCTAGAAGCTACTATCATCAGTGATGTACCCACTATCAATATTTAATGGGATCATCAAGCATTCTGAGCAGGCATCTAACTCCAGAATTCAGTTCTTAAATATAACTGCTATACTTCATGGAGACGAGCCCTTCTTCAGAAGTCACCAATTGCTTAGCTACACAAGAACTTCCCAGTAATTTATGGAATTCAAAGTTTCATTACCGTGCTCACAAGAGCCCTCCACTGGTCCCTATCCTGAGCCAGATCAATCCCATCCATACCACACCATCATATCTCTCTAAAAACAGCCACCTACATCTTGGCCTTCCTAGTGGTCTCCTTCCTTCTGGCTTTCCCACCAATATCCTACATACATTCCTCCTCTCTCCCATTCGTGATACATGCTTTGCCCATCTCATTCTCCTTGACTTGATCATTCTAATTATACAGAGTGTTCAATCAGGATGAAACTTTGCAACACCACTGACCAGGCCCAATATTCCTCACAGATTGCTGCCGTAACTGTAACAGTGCGCGTTCATCAGCGCTAACGTCTCATTCTGCTATCAGCAGTTACAGTAGTAATCTGTGAGGAATGTTGGGCCCGGTTAGTGGCGTTGCGAAGTTTCCTCCTTAACTGAATGCACTGTACTTGGCAAAGAGTATAAGTTATTAAACTACTCATTATGAAGTTTTCTCCATCTTCCTGTCACTTCAGCCCTCTTTTGTCCGAATATTCCCCCCAGCACACTGCTGTCAAACACCCTCGGCCTATGTTCCTCCCTTGATGTCGAGACCAAGTTATAACTGCTATACATAGCACAAAGTTCTAAGTAACATAACCCAACACTAAGTGATACATGTCACACACAGTGATCCCTCTTCTGCTACCAGGGGTGGAACAGGCAACTGCAAACTTATCATTGCTGTATATATATACAAATGACATATCTCTGGAAAGTTGAATGGAAGTCAGCACTGTGAAATGTCACTTCCTAACCATATCGGGACTGCTGGAAACTTTGTTCTGCTGCTTCAGCCATGGTTGTGGGAAGGGAAAGTCAGTTTAGAGCTGCTGGTAGCCGAGGAGGGGGACAGTTCGGGGACATAGAGGAAGGGACAGACCCAAAAATGGAAGCCACTACCAATCAATGGGTAGTGAAGTCAGAAGACTTTATATGTTCTGTGGTTACAGTGAACTTTAGAGTGCATAAGTCAGTGAGACTGTTGTAGTTATTTGTAGTTACATTCTGTGTATGATCAATAAATTTGATTACTAATCTAAGCCCCATCTATAGTCACATTGAAACATGTGACAATATGCAGACATGAGTTACTGTAGCTTAAAAATAAAGTAAGAATATACGAATAAGGAAAGTTATAAACTGGTACAACTATAAGCAACCATGATCAAATGGCCTTCATCTTCTTAGTGAGGGAAGCTAAATTCACAGAGAGACTAGTTTATGTGAACTGATCTGTTCTAACATAACCTAACCCAATCTACCCTAATCTAATGTAACATAACTGAACCTAATCTGAAATAACTTAACCTAATCTAATTTAATTTAATCCAATCTGCTTAACTTAAGCAGAATTCAAAACTGCCACAGAAAAAAGGAAAGGTAAAGCTATCCTTGTAACAGGCTGCAGAGGCCCATAGGGTTGTGAGATGTCAAGGCTCCCACATTTTCTAGAAAATAGGCTCAGATGGCAGTGAGATTGTCAGCCTTATGTGCCAGCTGCCCTTTACCACCCAGGAAGATTCTTGGTAATCATTCCTTTTACAGGCTGAGTTGACACCAAGGCAATAGGGCTGTTGAAAGGATTAGTCAATTGAAAAAGACCAATGCCCTCATCAGGAATCAAACCTGTGACTTTCCAGCTGGTACCATAGTGCCTCAACCAACTATGCCACTGCGTGTCTCGAAACTGTCACAAATAAGAATACGTTTACAGACATAAAAATATTTTAAACTACGAACACAAAAATTACTCTCTGAATAATATAATTATCAGAACCTCATAGCATTATGACAAAAGAGCCACGTATGCAGAATCACAGGTTTCAACATGGGGACTATGAAGATACTTCTTTTGTCCTTGTTGTTGTTCTGGGATGTAAATCAATGTACCAGTCTTCAAGGGACGTAACTTACTGGTCATCGTATTACAGAAATATACCTACCTTCCCCATAAAGGAATCATTCTAGATTATAATCAAATGAGTGGAGATTCTGGGAAGATAACAGCAGTAGACATAGTGAACACAGTTTGTGTCAGCCTCAGGAAGGCTCACATGACTTACCTAACCTAACAAGGCGATCTTAATTGAGGACCAAAACAAACATAACCAGAATGGCACAATGCACAAACACTGTCCTGGAACATGGCACTGTTGGGAACAAAACCCTACTATTACCATATTCTATTTTGAAGACAGTGAGTGGTAAGTAATCACATCCATTACTAGAATAACTGCACAGCTTCTGTGCACCAAATGCTAACTAAATTTGTTTTATGCTGGTAAGAGGAAATTTCAATGGTAACAGCAGTTAATGTAAGGTTAATGCTCTCTAACAAACACATATATTCTGCTGAACCTCCTGCATCTAGATTACAAACATCAACGGCATTTCAACTGTGTACTTATGGGATAGAAAAATTCACATACCGAGCCATAGGCCGGGTTCTATGCAGTCTAAATTTGATGGCCCGGCATCAAAATCTTCGCGTTCAAGGAGTTCTGATTCTTTTTCTCTGGCGCTCGTTTTCTTAGAAGCACCCAGGGAACTCATCGTTCACGCCAATTTTTGGCGCTCTACGCGTGTCTATCACAGCGATAAATTAACATAAACCCTACATTGGATAAGGACTGTATTCACATTAAAACATTTTCATTCACACATTAACGTCATAGACAATTAAAATGTTCTATTTATAATTATGCTCTAATTTAAATTTTAAAACGTTTGAGCCAATCACTTCCATGCCTACACATTATTTTGCACGTGAAATCCTGTTTTTCACATTTGACATCTGCACAGCCCCAAGCTATTGGCGGGCAACATGGCGCGATATACAGACTCGCTATCGCTCGTTATCCTCGTCGTGGACTCGTTTCTTGTCTACGGCTGCCATCCATGTTAGTTACCTTGATTTTCCCTCCACTTCCGCATAATGTCTGTTTGGGGACAGGAACGCCAACCGTAGTCGAGTGTTTTATAATTCCTCAAATCTAAGTAGGAGGCTTATGTAATGTTGAACTAGACAGTAAAAGAAAAGTAAAGCTATCCTTGTACTAGGCCGTGAAGGCCCGTAGTGTTGTGACACGGGGGGGGTCCCACATTATCTAGACAATCGGCTCAACGATGGCGGTAAGGTTGTCAGCCTTACGCTCCGGCCGCGCTTTACTCCCCAGGAATATTATTTAATTAATTCGTGGTACTCATTTCTGTTTTTCTGTTAGAGTCTGAGTCGACCTCAGGGCCATAGTGCGGCTGGAAGGATTAGGTCAATTGAAAAAATCCAATGACCTCATCGGGACTTGAAGCCGCGACTTTCCGGATTGTAGCATAGCCACTCAACCAACTACGCTACCGCGTGCCCCCTTGAATTAGACAGTACATTTAATAATCTTTTGTAATATCCGTGCATTTAAAGTGGAATTTTGACTCCTCCCAAAATACTGTTAAAATGCCCAAATCAAGGAAGATGAGACTGGCAGGGGCATGTGGCAGGCACGGGAGGGGAGAAAAGTGCATGCAGACATTTGGTAAGAAAACGTGAAGGAAAGAGACCACTAGGAAGAATAATAAGACAGCAGTTGGATCAGAGATGCAGGATGTGAGTGTGTGTACTAGATTCATCTGGCTCAGGATGGGGACCATTGGTGGCCTCTTGTTAACAAAGGAATGAATCTTCCAATTTCATAAATACTGGGAATTTTGTGAATGGTTGAGCAGCTATTGGCTTCTCAAGGAGCACTCTGCAACAAGGAGTTTTCATGAATAGCATTCCAGTAGTGAGGACAGAAAGCTAATTGAAAAAATGCAATAAAATGGCTACAATGGAGTGAAAACACTAGTTGCAGCATATCCTTTGCATGAAGTATGTAAAATGATGTTATGATGAGGAAATATCAGTTAATCAGTATCTTTCATATCCAGAACTGCTGAAGGAATTTTGTACTCAGGGTGGACACTGAAAATTTAGAAGCTTGATAGCACAGTTAATACAGTGACTTGATTGCTAGTTCCATTCCTGGCAAAGCAGTCATTTCTGTCTTCCCCTCTGCTGCCACATTGGCTCTGGGTTCCAGCAATTACCTTGTCCACAGGGCTCTTTCATAGATAGTAGTGACCAAGGCATTAAATTGACTACTAACGTTTATCTAATGCCAAGATTCAGAATGTGTGGTACTCAGGCACGTCTTCATGGTGTGGTGCTTAAAGGAGCCCGCAGGGTCAACTTTAGTTTAGCATACTGAAAGTTATAGGGAAAACTTGTTATTGAGTGCCATGTGCATTACAGTAGCATGTTGCATGGCCAATAAAAGTTAAGAGAGTTGATTACTGTCTTCTGGAGAGCCATTTTTTCCTCCCGCCCACTCTAACCTTGGATAACGCTTATGGGAAATATTCCCTCCTCCTATGCCTTGAATTATTTTGCTTCTCTTTTCTTGCCTGTGCTTCTTCATTCCTCCAACTCTGTAATCTGAATAGACCCTCTTTTGTGTTGTCTTGTCTTAACCACTCTGCATTTGAAAAGTGGCCCTTTTAAGAGCCAGTGTTCTTCTTGTTACTCCTGTTGGTTCACTTTGGGTTGCTGTCCCATCCTTGCTCTACATAACACTTCTCTCCAGTCTCAGCTTGCAATCATACTCTGAGAGGGAGACAGCAGTTTGCTTCGAAAGTTTTGCAGCAGTCAACCACATTGCAAAGCATCACCATCATGCGAACCTCAATCTTGCATCTGAACGAGGTCCTTGTCCAATAAATTACACACAAGTAATTTTTGTCTTAGTGTTTATTAATGAAAAAATGTTGTATAAATATTTCAAATATAGAAGTAAAGAGAGTCTATATACAATAGTTCCATAAATAAGGAAAGTGACATTATTTCAATGTTTTCTTTTTCTCCATTCACCGGTTCCCAATGCCAAAAACCCCACTATGTCACCCTGTCAGGCAGCATTTCATTTGCTTACCTGCATAGGTAGACAAGTTCATGAACATATACACACAGTAGTCCTAGGGAAAAAAAAAAGTGGCATTCACATGTAATTTTTGTCTAAGGCACAAGCCTTTAGTTATACAACACAGGAATGTACTTTTAACTGCAGTAATTTTCTTAAAATTTACATCACGTTATAACCACCATAAGACCTAGTTGGAAATTATATTTCATTCAAGCAGAGTGAGTGCCGTTTCATACCTCTTTGGCAATTCTGATTTTATGATTATGGTCTTGTGGGTTCTGATGCCATGCAGGGCAGCAGATAAGTACCCATACACCAAACTACATGGCATTACATTGTAAAAGGCAATAATCTTAATATACAATGCCGTGAGAACCTCGAATCCCACAGTCACTAATTTGTTTGTGTGAGGCCCGTTCAAATAAACCCATGCCGGGATTGGTTTTGGCAGAGGAGTAGAGCACATTAAGAACAGTTCCCCATGGTCACTGAGGCACACATCCTACTGACACACCAGCTGATGGGGATCTTGTGCACAAAAAACTCCTGGGTTGCTTCTTGAACCACTGCACAAGGGCCTTGCAATCATCTTCTGACACAAACCTACAGCCCTTTACAGCTTTCCTCATTAGCTAGCTGGCCACATTTGCTAGCAGCACAGGAAACAGGTTTCATTTGAACAATCCTCATAGATTTTTTGAACTGAAGGATTTGTCTTCAACCAAATTAAATGCCACTGATTACCTCGAGTATGATGAAGAACATACACTATCCATGACATCTCACCTAAACCCCCAAAATTAACAGTGGAAAATTGTTAATTTTTCAGTGACTCCCCCCCTCAGTGAGAACTTAATGCTATATGCACCAACACTCGTTGTGTTAATCAATCAGCTGGATGCTAATGAGGATTAAAAATAAAACTATTATAGGAATAGCTGCAGTGTTAAATCCCTCTGTTAGCATTTAAAGTTTGTTAACGAATAATGGTGCAAACAGCCACCAGTTGTATGCATATTAGATGACAGTGTACATTTTGGCATCACAGTTGAATGTAACTGGAATTAAACTGCACATGAAGTCTCGTTGACTGGTTTTCAAGTACCATAAACCCCAATGTGGGAGGCCAAGAACACATTATTCAAGTGTGAGCACCGGGAAATATCTGCTGTGCGTGAGCTACAATGCAGCTGTAAGAATTTCACATGTTCAGACAGCATTGCATATACGGCTTCAATCTCCAACCACACACTAGGATATTCAAGCAAGATTCTTCCTTGGTGACAGCCATTTCTTCATGTAGTAGCAGAAAATGGTACTGATATAGATGAGCACAAGAAGGGCACATGTTACACCAAGTGCCAGAACTGATGTCTTGGTTGGGCATGGTTCTACGATTGTGACTGTCTTGTCTGAAAAGTGGAGAAACAGTTACTATGAACTACCTGTACAATATATCTTCATAGTCTAATCTATCTATGGCTCTACAGCCCTTGTGGACCTTGGCCACTGTTGTAGTTTCTTAATCCATACACAGTCAGCAGGACTCCTTGGACGGGGGATCAGTCCGCCACAAGGCCATTACCTACACACAGAACAACATAAACAGAATAAATGCACACAGACATCCATGCCTCAAGCAGGATTCAAACCCACGATTGCAGTGTTTGAGCAGGCGAAGACGGTTCATGCCTTAGGCCATACAGCCACAGTGATTGGCATCTTCATACCCTACATACTGAAAAGTCCATATGTGTGTATTTCTGTCAAGTGAGTCTGATATGAATGAGCAACTTGTCCGCAGACTGTACTGTGGAGGTGCTTTGTTCTAATCTCATCTAGAATACTCGACTATCCTGACTGTACTCCTGTAGTTTTCTGCAGTGATCCCATAACAGTGTCTTTGAATAGGTTATTGCTATTCCCTATGCAATCCTTTCACATCTAGAGGACATGATCTGATATTAATTAACCTCAGTACCTCATACAGTGTCGTTAAATAACACAACCTCTCTGCCCATTCAATATAATACAGCCATTAAGGTCACAAAGTAAAGCCAAATTTATGTGCAGTCTCATATGTGTCAGTTTATTTTAAAACTGTTTTTGAAGTAGTTAAAAAAAGCATAACTGACGCATCCATCTTTCATTAACCCTTTCAGGAGCAACTCCATATGTATTCATATCCACTAGCAGCAAATCTCTAATGTACTCATTTTATGTCCAGGTTTTTCTTTACACTAACACACTCACGTCATATGGTTTAAAATTTTCTTACTGTACCTTTCACAGGCGCACACAGTTACATAGTTAGTTGAGGCACTGTGCTACATGCTGGAAGGTCGTGGGTTAAATTCCCAATGAGGTCACTGGATTTTTCAATTGACCTAATCCTGGCAGACACACTATGGCCCTGGGGTCGACTTGGTCTCTAACAGAAATGAGTACCAGGAATTTTCCTGGGGGTAAAGGGCAGGCAGCACATAGGGCTGACAACCTTACCACCAACTGTTAGCTGACTGTCTAGAAAATGTGGGAGCCTTGACCTCTCACTGCCCTGTGAGCATGCGGTAGAATTGTTAATCGCTGACAGGATATAGAAAGTGTCTGGTTGTTCACCTTTACCAAAGTCTGAAGATGAAGCTTCACTCCTCAGGAACTGGCTGTTCTTCTCGTCACCGAAGTCCAACACCAGAATCTCCTGACTCAGAGTCATGTCATCCTCAGATTCGTTGGATGTGCGGTTTGAAGCAATGGATCTCCTCCTCCTGCCCCAAGATTCAACGGACTCATGACCCCATTCACACACAGCCTGCAACAGTACATATTGGGTTTACTACAATTTGCTAAGTCTTGTACTCAAATGTGAGATGGCATCAGAAGCATGTATATTGGACTACAGTATTCTGTATGTTATGCTTCCTTGCCAGAATAGTTCAGTCAGTATAGTCACTAGGCTGTGGGCAGGATGCATGAGGAATTGGGGTTCATGCATTAGAAACTGTGCATGGCTTACATAAGATGTGCTACAGCAGTAATTCTATAGACTTGTATTCAGTAGGTGTTGGGTTCATATCTCAGACAGGACACTGACTACTCTGAGGCTCCTTGTAATTTTTGTCAGTATTCTCATGCAGACACTGGGATACTAACTTGATTAGGTCTTGGTTGCTTCGCTCCAAATCTTTTCCAGCTGACCACTCACCACCAACTAGTGCCATGGTCAAGAAAATGTGGACCTAGGCTTCCACCCCCCATACTGCTTATTTAGTTAAGCACAGGGACAACTTTACCTTTGTAATATTATCTGCAAGAATGTGTGTAGCAACCACAATTAACACTGTAAGCTTATTTTTGCTCTGGTAGATTGTGTACAATGGAACCCCCATTTCATATTTGTCTATTTAAGGTTAACCCTCATTTAGTGTTAAATTTAAATTGTATCAGTTAATAATCTCAGTCTTATAGTGCTACTGTTTCACATTTTCCTCAGTATACTGTTCAAATCCACTGTTCCCCAAAGAAACCTCAAACAAGGGTTTCACTGTAGCATACAGAGCTTCAATTAACTTTTCTGCACCAATCTGAACATACCCAGAGATTGGTGTCTTCTGTGATAGGATGCCATGTAGCCCAGCAAAATGTTTACTGATGTTTCAGAGATGGAAAGCAAGCAGAAAGCTACTCTTTGACACTTAAAATGGAGGCAGTATATTGGTCTAAAATATCATCGAACTTCTACCAGACTATTCAGGATCTCTTCATAGTCACTGATTCAAAACCTCAGATCTCACTTATTTCTTCAAACAGATGCTAAACAGAATATGAATTTTCTTGCCCATGCATAAAACGTGTACAAAGCAGGTGAAACTTCTCTCTAGGCCATCGCTTTAAGAAGTTGGGGGTGGAAAGTTTTATTGTGATTACACTTTCCACAGACAGAAGTGAGAGCTACATTACATAAGGCTTGTAGTGAAAGTCCCCTCCCTAGACTACTAACTTAACATGGTGAGGAATTATACACAACCCCCGATCTAGTAAAACCTATCTCTCTAACAGGCTGTAGAGGCCCATAGGGTTGTGAGACATCGAGGCTCCCACATCTTTTAGATAATCGGATCACAGATGGCGGTGAGGTTATCAGCCTTATGCACTGGCTGCCCTTTACCCCCAGGAAGATTCCTGGTACTCATTTCTGTTAAGAGGCTGAGTCAACCCCAGGGCCATAGTGCAGCTGGAAGGATTAGATCAATTGAAAAATTCAATGACCTCATTGGGATCTGAACCCACAACCTGCTGGCTTGTAGCATAGTGCCTCAGTCAACTATGCTACCACATGCCCTTGATCTAGCATCAGATCTAAAAAGGAAAAGGTTTGAGTGACTGAGGAATATGTTGTTAGGATGGATCAATTAAAGGTGGTCAAGAACTTTTTTCAAACTAAGCCAGAAGTTAGAAGAAAAGTGGGAAGGCCCAGACTGATTCACTAGAAGATACAAAGAACGATTTATGAGAGTTGAGAATGGAAGAGATGTAAACAAAAGGTAAATAATAAAGAAGAATGGGTATCTGTTTTAAAAGATGTCAAATTTGGTAGAGGATCATACAGGAAGAAGTAAATTATAAGTGACAAGATAGAGTGATCAAGATAATTTTTAGAGAGGCCTCATATAGAAAAATGTTTACCGGTTCACAGGGACCCAGGCAGTACTTGACATTGCACTGGAAAATGACACCATACGATTCAGTAAAGCGGAAAGCTTCATACACAGACTGTAGTGCATTGCCATCTGGTGTGAAGCTGGGGAAGATGCTTGGATCCACAGGACATCTGTAACAAGGACAAACATTATACAGAGTGATTCTAAATTATTGTCGCTCTTTCTGTGGTGTATAATTTTGAAACCAGAAAAAAACAAATTAAACTGCTTATGGAATATGAAAGTGTAACTCAAAAGTTTTATTATCTGCCAAATAAAAGTTTTTGAGTTACACTTTCATATTCCATAAGCAGTTTTATTTTGCTTTCTCCAGTTTAAAAATTATAGGCCATGGAAACCCCTACAATAACTTAGAATCATTGTTTTATTCTAAAATTTAAAAATTGCTAATAAAGTGGTAAATCTAAGATTTTAAGCTTTCGTGACCAGCAAATGTTCTAAAACATTCATGGGTGATCAGCCATATCAATATTCTGCTAAAAACCATCATTTCAGAGATTTCCAGCATTGGGGTAAACATTTTGACATGCTCATTTTTAACTCAACATTGACATGCATGATTTCCCAAGATTTTCTTAACATGAAAATAATAACTTTGGTTTCAGATGGTAATTCTGAACCTTACCCTTCATCATCAATAATCTGGAATGTACTCTTAGAGTCCTTTGCCATCGCTACACAACTTCGTGCAAAAATGCCATATGGAGCTGAAAACATGAAGAAAATTCTGCGCATTAAAATAATGTAATTATATTAACCAGGAATACTCAGTAGTGCACTGTGATCAACAAGAAGTATGCTTTGAGATCACAGTCTTCTGGGATGTGAGGTCATGTTGTTTGGTAGTTCTTTCATAGGTTATTTAATGACTTTTTAGTGTCAATAAATACCATGCAGCACCGGAGGTGGGATAGCAGAATTGGTATAGCAACTGGCCACAGGCTGGACGACCGAGGGGTCAGAGTTGAAGTCCCGGTAGGGTCAAGAATTTTCTTTTCTCCATGTCGTCCAGACCAGCTCTGGGGTTCACCCAACCTCTTATCCAACAGGTACTGGAGACTCTTTCCTGAGGGTAAAGCAGCCAGGGTGTGAAGCTGACCACTCACCTCCAGCTAGTGCTGAGGTCAAGAAAATGTGGATCTATACATCCACTCCTCCATATGCCTTCATGGCATAGTGCTTAATTAGTTAAGTACGGGGATAGCTTCACCTTTCACCATGCAGCACCAGATGGTACGATGACTGATGAAGTGGAAAGGATTTGTAATGAAGCAGTTATGATCTAAATGACTTGTAGCTCAGCATTCTCCTGAAGGGACTGAGGAAAACTATGAAGTTCCAAAGTCAGGATAGCCAGGGACCAATTTGAGATTCTAACTGATCACATCTCAAACACAAGTCCAGAAGGTTATGTCTAGACAATCTGTTTGGCAGTTTGACAGATAATTACTAATGTTTCCAGGAACTTGCTACCAATATCTTCAGGGTAGACCAGCAAGCTGATGGGAGAAAAAATGGTAAATAGCATTGGGAAAAGGGAGAATCGAGACTTGGGCTACAAACCAACAATGGAAACTTATGCCCCTTATACAGATTCATCTACCCTTAACACTGAACATGGAGGCAGAAGGTTCCTCTGAAACACTGGCACTTCATATCAGATTACATGGTGTCACACCCCACAAGACTATGAATTCAATATTTAACACTGTGTGAGACTGAAATATAAGGAAGTTACACTTACTATCATCAGGGATTTCAATACGGAAAGTTAACTTGTCTCCAATGCGGACAGTCTCGACTTCACGGCCTCGGCTGTCAACAATGCGAATGCGTGGTGGAGGTGCCTCTGGGGCAGATGTAATACTGATCATCTCAGGATCCCTTTAAAATATAAAATGGATGTTTTATTTCTCCTTTAGTGTATGTGCTGTTATGCTGCTCTACAACCATCCCTCAACAGAAGTAGTTTCATAATGTTATATTTTAGCGTCCTGTTGCACTGATTTTCATCCATGATATGTATACAGTGGCCGTCTTGTAGTGCACTCAATTTCACCTGTCACTTCACAACATGTTTCGGCAACATAGTGCCATCATCAGGTGTCCCAATTACGTCAATCTATTGCATTGCTTGTCCTCATATGTTTTCACAATACCATTTAAAAGTATTTAAAAAGTCCGTATTTGTCAACTATGATAAACTTACACTCGCTAAAACTTGTTAAGATAATTCATCTTGTCTTAATTAAAACTTGCATGTGGTTCTGAACTTGCATGAGTGATTACAACACTCGCAGCTAAGAAGGGAACACACATCACAAGACACGGTTTACACAGAAAATGACAAAAATGACCCTGTAGTGAACGAACCACATGCAAGTTTTAATTAAGACAAATAAGATGAATTATCTTAACAAGTTTTAGCGAGTGTAAATTTATCATAGTTGACAAATACGGACTTTTTAAATACTTTTAAATGGTGTTGTGAAAACATACGAGGGCAAGCAATGCAATAGATTGACGTAATTGGGACACCTGATGAATGGCACTATGTTGCCGAAACATGTTGTGAAGTGACAGGTGAAATTGAGTGCACTACAAGACGGCCACTGTATACATATCATAGAAGTAATTTCAACTGATGCAAAATTTAAACTACCAAGATTTCATACATGACTTTTTAATGTATTTTTAGTAACATTAAAACAATAAATAACTTATTCGTCTAAAACAAAAAGCAAAAAAGGTCAGATCTGTAAACTGCCAAAATCAGTAGTGTTAAAGTTGACTGAATTATGTATGTTTCAGTAACTCTTAAAGGATTAATTTGTTAAAATTAGCATGAAGATTTTAGGTTACGCCATTGCTCATTGGAACCATTGCGTTAACTCAGAGGTTACCTATGTTTGAGATGCACAAAGTTACACAAAGTTGCACAGCGCACAACAACTTCCATCCGCTTTCCTACTGTCCACATTTCTGGTGGTACAAATCTTGTGCCACCAATTACACTCTCACACGCAGGAGTTTTTCATGTGACTTATAAGACGGGTTCTGGAGTGGATGATTGGATTTATTGACACCTTATTCACACAACTTGGGACTACAGGCAATTACAGCACTCTTGCTGCTTTACACACTTTACAGTTTACTGTCACACATACACTAGGATTCTCAGGCTTCACTAGTCGCATCCTGGTAACAGATTTACAACCATCTCATTGTAACTTAAAATCAGCCAAGAAGTCTTCTTTGCATAGTCTAAGTCATTTCATGCCATTTCTTCTCAATAATCTTTGACTGCCATCTCCAGAACTCGACTCAATTCTCAACAACAATTAACTCAAATGAACGCTTCTTCAACTGAACTCTGTGACAACAACCAACGACTCCCTTGGAACTACCATTATGTGGCCTCACAGAAAACACCGTCTTCTGTTGCCCTGTATTGTTTTAGGCATATTTACTGATCCATTGCCTAGCAATAGACATCATATTGCTATGGAGTTGGCTCCTGCGGGAATATGGTTACTGAGTCATTGCCTAGCAACGGGTCTATACGTCAAAACACGTTTCGGTAATCTAACTTTATAATCAAACAATAAAGTACAATTTTTACCCAACCATCTAGTAAACTGAGAGGGCCACAGGACTGAATCCCAGTCAGGCCACTCTTCTTTACTGCTTATAACAATAAATACCTCGCATGCACAGAACTTTTGTTATCAATGTTGTCATTTATTTTACTTTAGGGGAACTCAGGAACAAATTCTGACTACTATATAAATTTGTTATACATAAGATCAAAGTTCTGCACAGTCAACATATCTGTAGCTATTAACTTATTAGCAGTGTCTTACACAGTGTGTTGAAATGTTTATCTTTCATTTTCATATTAAATTGCATATACTCTTAGCTCTCCAATGATTATTGCTGCTAAACTGATTGCTAAATGAAATATATTACAGACATATCAAGTTACTGCTTTTACTGTCTTCACAGAGTCACATATTATTATTTAGTATGACAAATAATTTTAGGACACTATATTAAGTTAAACAAACAGTCTGTACCTTATGGGCATCATTCCAAACGTTATGTTCTTTGACGACATGTCATATGTACACTTCACCTTGTATATCTTGTCAGCTTTCGTCATTACCACACTGTGGTGTTGCAAAACTACAGTGTTGGTGTACACTCCAGTCTGTCAATATATAGAAACAAAAAATTACAATATTATTATTGGTCCATCGTTTTTATTACTGGAGATATCAAGTTCACATAAAGGAAAAGCTATCCCTGTAACAGGCCATGGAGACCCATAGGGTTGTGAGACATCGAGGCTCCCATATTTTTCGAAACAATCAGCTCACAGATGGTGGTAAGGTTGCCAGCTGCCCTTTACTCCAAGGAAGATTCCTGGTACTCATTTCCATTAGAGGCTGAGTTGACCCCAGGGCCATAGTGCAGCTGGAAGGATTATGTAAATTAAAGAAAAAAAAAAACCTCATCAGGACTTGAACCTGCTTTGCAGCATTAAGCCTCAACCAACTATGCTACCGCGTACTCCTGTTATCACAGTATTGACCAATATTATATTTAATAATCATTGTTTTAAGGTTAAAACCCCATGGCATATGTCTTCAAGTTATTTAGATTCATTTAAATCCTGCAAGAGTCAAAAGTTAGTCCTGTTTTCTCAAAATTCTTACACAAGAATTCTTTCCAATTTTGAGTAGCTGAAAAGTCTATTTTGCCTGAGTGTCTAACTCACCATAGACTGTGTTCAGTTACTCAAACAGTCAGGCCATGCCATAGCTCACATGGTTATTTGCCGGCTTAACACCACAGCAACCCAGGTCAAGTCATGCAGGATCTATGGTTGACAAATTGGCACTGGGGCAGGTTTCCTCTGAGTATTTTGGTTTCCCTGTCAATTCTCATTCCACATTCTATACTCATCTAGCACCTGGGACTGGTACAATAGACCAGTTAGTGGCTGATGTACCAAGTGGACTCAAGTCTCACCCCGGTCACATGAAATCTATATAAAAACAATCTCCTACAGTCTCTGTTGGCTGAAAGTGTAACTTGTTACAGATTGAGTGTTCAGTAACTCAAAGAGTCTGCCTGTGTCTGTCTAGAGTGTAATTTATCACAGGCTGGCTGACTCTTCATTAATTCAAACAGTTTGTGTTTGCCCAGTACATAACTCACCACAGACTGAGTGTTGCAGTCTTGTCCACTCATTGTCAGGTCGAGTCTGAACAAGTCACTGTTCTGAACATCAATGTTACATGTCTCTGATCGACCCAGAGCATAAATTCTGCCATTGAAGGGCTTGTTGGTCCGGACCTGAACAGCTATACGGGTGTCCTTGCAGTTTACTGAAACTGTGGACAAATAATAAGAGAAAGTTATGATGTAAGATTGCAACAAATGTTCAGCAGGGCATAATATCCTCAATACCACATGCCACTAAATTTGTTTAGTTCCCCTTTCCATGTTTAATTAAAAACGTGTATTCTAATATGGCATCAATACTGAAGATGGTTATGACAGTTTTTTCAAGAACATGATCAAATATGGATTAAGGAAGAAAAGAAGAATGAAAAACTTGGAACAAGCACATCTGTTCATTATGAAACTACCTTTGAACATATCAGTCAAACTTATAACACAAATATACATGTTTCAGTCTTATGAAATCATTCTCAGTGTTCCCACTCACCAATGTTGCCTCTGCTTCCTACTGTAGGTACTAGCAGCTAAAACTTATTACCATAACAACATGTTATTTCACTTTAAAACTTGATGATAAAATGTTTTAAAGAGATCTAAAAACACAGATATAATAGCAGTTACACAGATAACTTAAATTGTGTTATTACAGTATACAATCTAAAAAATAGGATGGGAACAGTGTAGAGATATGTGAACTGAACTTCTTAACAAATATTCTTTATTAAAAATAAATTTCGAGTAAATCAGTTGTTTAATTTTTGTGTTTGACACAGCAGTAAATATAAAGCGTATCACATTCTAGAATGTTATAGTGTGTGGTCTTGAAGATGTTTAGCAAAGAATAAACATCTGCTACACATTGCAACATCCGAGAAGGTAGCACAGTACTTTACAAATCTGTTATGTTTTTCATTTTGCATTTGTAACTACTCGTATGTTAATTTCTTTTTCCTTAAGGGTTGATTTATGGTCTTCATTATGAATTTTCTGGTCACATTCATATGGTGGTTTATTTTCTTAACCACGGTTTTGAAATATGTTACTAATTACTACCATTACTGTGTATCAGTTTCCAAAATGATGTCCTGTGGAACCCTGGTATTCCACAAGTGAAAATATTGGTTCTGTGAAGTGAAAATATGGATTCTGTAAGAAAAGTACATTACAATGTAAAAGTGTTGTTATTGTTGTTGTTGTTGTTATTATTATTAACTTCACTTCCAATAATTTTCATTCTGGGGCTTCTTTAGTATGGAAATGTCTGTTTCAAAGGAAGAAATTAAAAAACTGAACCGCACTTTTGCCTCAGAGGAAAGTGGTTTATCAAGACGTGCAATTCATGTGCTAATATCCTTTACCAGCACATACACAGTGTGTCCAGGATCCGTTATGACTCTTTTTTTTAATTCTGCCCTTCAATGCCATGTGTTGGCGAGTTGTGGTGTTAAGATTCTTGAAGTTTCAGCTGTGGCTCTTTATGTGTTGGTACAGTTTACTCAGTATAACACAATTTCAAAAATTCCACCAACTTCAATGCACTCTGCAACTCTTGTAAGGACATGGCTTGTTGCTTGTCTGTACAGTGAAATAGCTCTATCTCAGAAACTGTTCGGAATAGGACGCATGCATATATGCAAACTTCAAAAGTGTTAGGATCAGGTACTAACAGCTCAGCTCTACGTATTTCTGTCTGCCTAACATCACTGACCCTATATACATTCAATAACTGAGAGAAGTAGGTCTTCCACCTATTCAAAATGTTCTGGGAATCTGCAAGCAGATCACCATTCTCATCCTTCACTAAGTTACTGCTAGGCTGGTAACCCCTCTTAAAAGTCATTTATTCCTCTATAAAGGTCTCTAATGTTCTTGTTCCTACTGTTCATTGTAACTTCATCAATTTTGTCTTTCATATATTCCTTCCTTTTATTCCTGAAATGCCTGCTGGTTTCACATCTTATTTTGTTCAGATTATCCCTATTTAACGCGCTTGGATCCTGTAACCACTGCAATTTGGCTTGTTTTCTTTGGTCTAATAATTCTGAGCATCCTTCATCAAACCACTGCTTATGCTTCTTCAGTTCATAATAACCTAGACTCTCTTTGGCAGAAAGTTTGATATTCTAATAGTTTCCCAAGCTTTATTAATATGCACCTCAGTGTCTAAGTTTTCATTCATTCATTTCCTTTATTTTCCATATATCCATACAGGTAGAAAACCTAGGATGTGGATATAGTCCCTTTTTCCAAAGCGAATATCCTTATCCTTCATTAAGTTACTGCTAGGCTGGTAACCCTCTTAAAGTCATTTATTTCTCTATATAGGTCTCTAATGTTCTTGTTCCTACTGTTCATTGTAACTTCATCAATTTTGTCTTTCAGATATTCCTTCCTCTTATTCCTGAAATGCCTGCTGGTTTCACATCTTATTTTGTTCAGATTATCCCTATTTAACGCGCTTGGATCCTGTAACCACTGCAATTTGGCTTGTTTTCTTTGGTCTAATAATTCTGAGCATCCTTCATCAAACCACTGCTTATGCTTCTTCAGTTCATAATAACCTAGACTCTCTTTGGCAGAAAGTTTGATATTCTAATAGTTTCCCAAGCTTTATTAATATGCACCTCAGTGTCTAAGTTTTCATTCATTCATTTCCTTTATTTTCCATATATCCATACAGGTAGAAAACCTAGGATGTGGATATAGTCCCTTTTTCCAAAGCGAATATCCTTATCCTTCATTAAGTTACTGCTAGGCTGGTAACCCTCTTAAAGTCATTTATTTCTCTATATAGGTCTCTAATGTTCTTGTTCCTACTGTTCATTGTAACTTCATCAATTTTGTCTTTCAGATATTCCTTCCTCTTATTCCTGAAATGCCTGCTGGTTGCACATCTTATATTGTTCAGATTATCCCCATTTAACTCGCTTGGATCCTGTAACCACTGCAATTTGGCTTGTTTTCTTTGGTCTAATAATTCTGAGCATCCTTCATCAAACCACTGCTTATGCTTCTTCAGTTCATAATAACCTAGACTCTCTTTGGCAGAAAGTTTGATATTCTAATAGTTTCCCAAGCTTTATTAATATGCACCTCAGTGTCTAAGTTTTCATTCATTCATTTCCTTTATTTTCCATATATCCATACAGGTAGAAAACCTAGGATGTGGATATAGTCCCTTTTTCCAAAGCGAAAATGATCACTATTAACTATTAATCCATTCATTCATTCATTCATTCATTCATTCATTCATTTATTTCATTTCTGTTAACCCAGGCTGGTACAACCGTTGGATATAGAGGAAGTCAAAAAACATGCAGTCATAAAAAGATTTTGTCAAAATTAAATATAAGATTAACAAGCAAATATAAATATTACAAGGTAACAATTT